AGCCATGGCATATAATTATATCGATGCCGTTAGCTGACGAACATAGATCTGTTGGTCGATAATCGCACGAAGGCTGACAGTAAACGGGAAATGAACAGGAGCTTTTGGAGTGCAGTACTTGTGGAAGATACCTACATCAGAGGGAACTAACATCTCCTCAGCTGTGTCGTCAGCGCCGAAATTATTTCACTGCTGGCAAATTCAAGTCTAAAACGTAGAGCGTGATGTAGCGACTGAATTATGTAGCAAGAAGTGATACAGTAACATGAGCCTAGAAGCAGCTACCTGCGGCAATACATCTCGTTTGGGTCAGCCCAACAGTTTGCGAAACATCCAGTCACGTCGGAACACAGTGCTGGTCTAGGCCTAATTACCTGAGGTAGACAAGCAATCCGTCAAAAGATTGAAGAACCCATTTACTCGTTGATGAAGATTGACAATGGAATCTTGAAGTCCGAAAGCTTGCAGACATCTGTCTGCATGGTTTCAAGCTACAGGGATTAGGAAATGTTCCGAAACATCAAACACAAAGAGTTCATAGAAAATTGACACTGCCCGTTATGAAAGCTGGAAACAATGTTGTAATCCGCGTAATAAGTTGGAAAAAAATGAGACACCTCTTTATTCTGATTAATGCAACAAAAACTTTTACCACAAGAGTCCGAATTACTTCTACAGACGAAATAACGTGTCTTGTTAATCAAGATCTAGATATCCTCGAGAAAAGTCACATAGGGCTCGAAATTTTGGACAATCGCTCGGCCTTTTCGTAGGTCAAGTCTTGAGAAGTTTCCGTGGCCGATCAAAAGGACAATCACTAATTGTAGACTTCAAGCTCCGGTGGTCAACGATTGACAGCTCGATAGCCGTCGATATTTGTCAGATATAGGATACTCTGGAAGGTTTTCGTCTCAGTGACTAGCTCAAATTAGATGCCTCCGTAATAATGCAGGGTCTGATTCTCAAATGAATGGTCAGGAGCTTCAGCGATCTTCCGAGTTTCCTCAAAGATCTTGCAACATGGTCACCGAAGAGTCCCGACGAGTTCTTCAGATGAACATTACCCCTGTGCGATATTGACATCTTTGACACTATTTATATTGACTAAAGCAACTGTGCAAATCTCATCGGATATGTCCAAGGCAGTATGAGAAATAATCACCGAAAACTGATTTCAAATGGGGCTCCTCTTCCGATGTCGACTAACTTACAACTAATTCCAATTCAATTGAGCAATGGTGTCCAAGCGCTGGGATACAGATGTTGTCCCCGATCTATTCTTGATTCTCTTTGACTCCTTTTCCTTGTTCACTTGGAGAAAACAATTATGTCCCAGCTAAAAGCCATGATTCCATTGGTGTAAGAATTGAGTTGCTGAGAAGAGCTTTTGTTCTCGAGCTTTCTTTCGGACGCCCACTGGACAATTGATGGCTAGGAAGTTGTGCCTCGAACTCTTATTTCTTTCTTGAACGTACTCATTCAGGACGCGTCGACAACTGTATATCTAGGTCGGAAACCGACTCTGGAGTATGTTTGACCTAACTGCATCGTCGTCATATACCAGAAACAATCGCACAGAGGCCTCAATCAATCTTTTTCGTGAAAGTTCATCTCCATCATGTCGTCAAACCACCCCATTGCTCCATCGTCGATGTATTTCGAATCACTCCGAAGGACATTAACGGAAAACCCTAGCTTGTGGAACGGACTGACACTTGAATGCGCAATCTGCAGAGAGCCTATGAACCTTGTTGGAGACGGATTGCCTTCCTCAGAGAATATTGGTTCCGATGGAGTCAGTCGTTTGCATCAAATTCATGGCTATCAAAATTTTGCGAATCTGCACCCACGGTCACCCAAGGACGCCGTCGTCCTACCGTGCGCTCACATATTTTGCAAGGGTTGCTTGTTCATAGTCTGTTACTCAGATTACGGTCTCGCAGACTTCCTGCCCACTAATGTGTACCCAAGGCCCGATCCAGTATGTCCGGCTTGTCGAACTAAACTCGTCTTTCCAGATTGCGAATTCCGTTGTCGTTTTCCTGGCATACCATTCCCACGCTCGAGCGAAGCAATGAACATCTTCCCCCCAACACTTCAAGGTGGTATTACGCAGGGTTCACGTAGATGCAACTCATGCCGAATTATCGCAGCCTGGTATGACTTGCAGCACCGCGTTGACCGCGTGATGGAAGCCTCTATGCCTTATGACAATTGGGTCATTACTGTTATGCCTACTTGTGTTGCGGGTCAAGCCTGCTTATGCCGCACTGAGGTGTACTTGGAACGGACATTTGGAGAACGACTCGCTCAAACCGCACGCCATTTGCGCATCGATACTGGGTTATGGCCTTGGTCCGGGCCGCAGGCTTCTGATCAACTGAAATTTGTTCTGAGATGGCGTTCGTGAGATTGAAGGATAGATATATGTAGATAAAGCAGAAAGCTAGTCCTTTCATGTTTTCGCGATCTTTGCCTGCAGTCATAAGCTTGGTTCATTTCTCATCGAGGCAATTTTTCGCAAACGAACGAGTTCGATTTCAAGTGGGCATGCAATCACACCCTATCAGGGGATCCGCGGAGAAAAGCTGGTGTTGTTGAATATCAGCTTTATTCTAATTTAAAGAAGCGTTATGTTTGTTGTACGATGTGTGAGAAAATGAGCCTTCGTGTCTTTTCAACAGTGCTCCGGTGTTTGCACGACGATGATCCGACCGAAAGTCATAGCGCTTTTTTGGAGAGTCCGTATCCACTTTGTGAATCGAATAATAGTAATCAGTGAGCTGGATGCCTCACCGAGAACTGCACAAGGTTCATGTCGAGCAATATTGCACCGCATATCGACGCCTCATGCGCCAGTGGACCAAAGAGGGCAACATTGCCCAATTAGGTCCCACTGGTGGCCGTTTTCAAGCTTTGCGGCTTGCGCAACCGGGGATCGGAGGGGTTGTTGTGAAGCGAGAAATGGACGTATGACTGGCTGGTGACGTCTCCGTGTAAGCCACGCACGCCGATCTTAGTGTAAAAGAATCTCACTTTGCGGGGTTCCTCCGTGGGCGAGAGGAGATTTCTTGAGACCCGAGACTAACACAAATAGGTATTCGCAGGTAATCACTTATCAACGACCCTATTCACCCTATGATGGTTCACCAACAGGGTCCTCTGTTTCTCAAAATACCATTCAAAATACATTATACGAGGAGCTCAGCCACGACCGGCAGTCCCGACAAAGCGGTCTAGAGGGATGCTGGTGACACTGCGCGGTCGTATGTCCGAAAGCTTTGTTTGCTGCAGGGTTCGGGTGCGTACAGACGAGTAAGACCTGTGTAAGACCCAAGTCTTCGTCATGTTGGTCGTTCGTATTCCCGGAAGAGCATACTCGTGGTCAGGGTTGGCCGATGGGCGAAAGCAAACGCATGATCACGAAGATATGCCGGAAGATCAACGAATTCTGTGAAATGCATCAAGAAGTTCGGACGTGGTCAATATTGGTATAAATCTAGGTGAGGTGTCCTCTCCCACTATTCCGGTTCTCATCTCCTCATCATTCCAACCATCCTCAGCCCTCGGACCGTCCAAACTCCAATTACACCGACAAAAACAGACCTCAACGCTGCATACCCAAACTCTATTCCTCTTGAAGCTACATTCAAGACCCATTGCGCCCCTTCAAAAGAAGAAAAAAGGAATTCAACACCGTCTTCATCCGTCCCATCATGCAGTTCTCAACCATCATCGCAACCGCAGCGGCTCTGTTTCTCGGAGCCGAAGCCGGCGCCGTGCCGCGTCAAGACCCCCATATCACCGACTTCCGGATCTGGAGCGAACAGGGATGCGGAGCGGCCGGTAACCTCGGCGTCTGGACCATTACCAAGTCGCAAACGGACGTGTGCCAGACAACATTCAACGCACCGGATAATGTCGTTAAGGCTATTCGCCTCAGCAACCTTGCAGAGGGCTGTGAGAGTAAGACCCTGATCCCCCGTTTCTTATGAAGCAAATGACTAATTCTAGCCAAGTGACTGCATACCCTACCGCTGATTGTGGAGAGGGAGGTCGCCAAGTCGGCGTCCAGACTTGCGAGGAGTGGAGCGATGTCGCCGACAACTTCTTGAGCTTCAAGGTCATCTGCTCTTAGTTTTTCTCAAAACGTCTTCGAATTCTCGCATTTTCTGGAGTTTTTGATTTCTTCGATGATTCGGGATGTGTGAGAACGGTGCATAAATGCATGGGTCGGAGTTGAATGCAGACACAGCACAGTGGAACGCTCCTTTGGAATCACGACTCACAAGGACGTACGCCAACAACTAATCTTGGCATAATAATGGTAATACACTCCTTAGATGCTGCTTTACAAGTAATTGAACACGATCATCGATCGATAAATAAAATCCCGACGCGGTTGTCGTGTGAGGAATGGTGGTCGAACTCCTTTAGGTCTAGCGTACACATCTTCGTGGCCATCGACGAGCAGTCAAACGAGACATCTAACACAAATTCTCAGTGAAAATGAACAGACATTCGATGGAGTTGGCGTCTGGGTAAGGTTAATCTTCGGAGGAAAGCACATGGTTTCAATGGTGATGAACATGCTCTTGATGGTTCCCGAACGACCTAAGGTAGCTTACTCAGAAGTAGGGTATCGGCGATCACACTCGGATCAGGAGTGTCGTTATTTCAAATCGAAATTTCCATGAAGAATAGCTCCATGGTCCCTGGAAGCATAATTGTCATAGCTCGGACCCTCGAACGTGGAGACGGCTGTCAGTAGTTTGGCGCCTGTCCTAGAACGGGGTGAGTACTGAATGCATGATGTCAAGAAAGCCATGGTATCGGCACTAGCGGCACTTCATCGTCACTGTGCCTGGGTGCCCACCTCGAGCTACATATCTTCGAGGTTTCCCCGAACGCGATAGCAGCCTTCATCATTCGATTCTTTGGCCATTGAATCGAGTTCCCTCTCACTTTTTTCTATCACGGATTAGCAATCAATCGCAACAATGAGCCAACCAATTGGACTGACAACGATCCCCAGGCTACTGCGTAAGTGCTAGACTCTGATTCTTAGCCATAGATGGGTTGACTTAAAAACTAACTTGCATCTTCGTGTAGCTGTTACGGGCACATTCGCGCTACCATTCACAATCTACTACGCATTCCTTAGCCTTCGTGTCGTCAACGAGCGTCTGAAATCGAAGCAATACTTGGGCGACAACTCCTCAAAGCCTGGAGCAGACCCCGAATCATACAAGGCCAATGCACTTTACCTTGCCGGCCGATCGCATGTCAATTATATCGAAAACGTGCCGCTTGCTTTCATCCTCGCTTCACTGATCGAGGTCAATGGAGGCAACCGCAAGACCCTTAGCTGGCTGCTCGGTAGCTTCTTTGCCTTTCGTGTGCTGCATGCTGAGCTTGGGATTATGAAGCCCGAAGGCATGGGCAAGGGCAGACCCATCGGCTATTTCGGTAGCATCGGTGTTCTCGGTGCCTTGGCTGGCTATGGGGCCTTCTTGGTCAAGGGATACTGGGGATACTAATCCAACCTACCTTTCATCATATCGAAATTGTAGACGGCCTGAAGATAAGCAAGGACGAGAAGGGTGAAAAGCGAATAATTTTCCTCTGCAATGCTGCGAGGAGTGCCATTGTGCATGTCAGCTTTATCCATACTATCGTGGGCTCAAGCGAGATCGGTAGTCATTTAGAACCGGGAAATCAAGGATCTATGAATGTCCGCGTGTGTAGCCAAGTATCAAATTCAATTGGGTTTATCAGCTGGAGGCTTCAAGTCACTACCAGTCAGCATCGGTAATCAATTTTCCAGTACATTGTAGGGCATCGGTCGTCTCAACGATTAGTCAGGGTGCCAGGAGAGTTCATCGCAACTCTAAGAGCATCGCTTAAGAGCCTGCATAAGGTCGGTTCGCTATTTCCCCGCCTGCAAATCAATTACACGGTTCACATCGCTGGGCCTCACCCAAACCTTAACCGCAACAGGCTGGCATGATTCGCCATTTCATTAAAATATCCTTGAATGAACGGCAAAGACACATTCACGAAGCCCGATTAGTGTACTATCTCCTCCCGGATCTTGGCGCCGAGGATGGTCGGTTTCCCTGCGCTCTCCGCGAGTGATCGTACAATGATTCAGGTATTAAAGCCGTCAAAGATCGCTGTAAAATAGCACGACTGATTCTCGGAAGCTTTCTCGTACATATTCTGACCCATCTTGCCTACAATGCACTTCTCTAAGATTGCCCTGTTCTTCGCGCCCCTGATGGCCATGGCTAGCCCTGTCAAATTGGAAACAAGACAGGACAACACTTGCTGCTATCAAACCGAGGTGAGAAGTCAATACGATCCGTCGGACGCCAGCTCGCTAACGCTTACACTGCTCAGGATGTGAACGCCCTCGTCTTTGTGACCAAAGGCCAGTCATCACAGACTCTGGACACCCTCAACTGGTGCTATCTCCAGGTTGACCGGTATGCAGATCCTCTGAACGCCTCCATGTGTTGACTGTAACCTAATTCTCTGGTGCTAGCGACGCGACTGATCCAGACAATTGCGAGAAGGCGACGCGATTGTACTGGGCTGGGTACTGCCCCTCTGATGGTACAAAGGTTATCCCGTGTCCTTAGGTACCATAGTTCGTGGAGTTTGCGCCATGCAGACTACATGCCATACGGCGCATATAAGCAAGTAGTAGGCAGTTGATGAGGCCTATCGATGAAGTTATAAGTTTGATCATACCTTTGAAAAGTCCGATTACGTTCCAAGAACTTGGGGCCTCGATCTTCTAATGAACTCACTCCCCCAATCAGCCCTACACCAGAATGAAACTTGTCTCTGTTCGCGATTTAAGTACAAGGGCTCCGCCGGCCTTCGCTATCGCTACCAGTCTACCAGACCACCCGGGCGATTGATCTGGGGGGGATAGCGTCAAGGCTAGGCTCAGCTCGGCTGACATGGCAGGGGACCATCCTACACGACCAAATGTTACCAGTCCTGATTGGCTAGTAAGACAAGCATCACCGTGGCTTGGGAAGCACGAGGACAATAACTCCGCCCCTCCTTCGATGTCAGCCTAAATGCTCACCGTAGGCCTCCCCGATAACAGCTCAACGCGCGCGGCGCAGCAACCGGGAGTATTTAGCTCCGCCGCGCAGCTTTCTACTTAAGCTTATGCGCGCCATTAGCCCCTGGTTTGTACTTGATTTCATCAATATCTCATCATCCGTACAAACCCAACCATCATACGCAAATTGACCACCCTCGTAAAGATTCTTCATCGACGATAAATCCCAAAATCTCACAACAAACCAAGACATCTTGCATCACATAATAAACACACCATGCGCAATCCATTCAAGCCAAGACAGGCGCCTTCTCAAAGCTGGGCGGGGAGACCGAGAGCCCTGTCAGCTGATGACCCAGTCTTCAAAGACCTCGACGAAGATGAACGAAAGGGGATTGAGAGCAACTCTACCAGCCAACAACAAAAGACGTCACAAGAATTAAACAGAGAGCCGCTGAAGCCTTCGGGATCGGATAGCGCCGTCTCTGTGGGAAGCGGATCAACTTCTCATCACAGCGTCAGCGCTGATATAGGTCAAGGCTATGCCGCAATCGCAGGAGCATTCTCTAGCACCGACCACTCAGGGCATTGAACTTGGAAGAAAGGATTGAATCCATCGAGAGGTTTTCGATCAATTCGCAAAACTTTAGACGAAAAATACGCTTCTTCGGATGCGCGGGAAACGGACGAGGGGGACGGGCAACTGATTTCATATTTTACGAGCGAAAGATACCCAAGACATTCTTTACCAGACAACAGATTGGACAACACGAAACAATCAGCAAGTGATGTACACCGACCGCGCTCCATCAGTCAAGTAGAACTGCCCACCCTTGTTGGCAACAGGAACGCAAGAACGGTCCTGATACGGGTTGACCGTGCTGACCGTTGCCTTTCCACTGCACCCGGCATTTGCCCAGAACTTGAGCTTGCAGACATTCCCGCCTCTGTTTGCGAAAACTGCACCGTAGACATTTCCTGAGAAATCTTGGCACCGGCCAGACGAGACGTCAAAATTGTTGGTGAAACTGCCAGCGCAACCACCATCGTGGAAGACACCGATAATGACAGTATCGCGCTTCTGCAGCGTGCCGGGTGTTGCGGCAGCTTGGGCTCCGAGGACCAAGACGAGGGCAGATATGGCTTGAGTGAGTTGGACCTGAGGTGGATGCAATTAGCATGCGAACTTTATCAAGATTTGCTTAGTACTCTGATGGATTTGCCATTGTGAATGCTGAGTCTGGTCCTCGACTAGGTGTTAAAGGATTGTGTAAGTCTCTGACCGCCAAGTTGATGTTGTTGTCTAGTAGTCGTGGCACTCACAGTCTTCTACTTGTAAGGCTATTTAGGTAGTTCTGAAGTAATTATATACATTTTTCTACTAGCACTTGAGCGGGAACATACGACTAGCAATGCCTAGACGAATCACTGGTCAAAAGTAATTCGCAGCAGAGCCTAAGAAGGCAGCAGCGGAGTTCCGCCCTTCACAGATCTAGATATCCATATTCTCGCCAATCCATGCAGGCAGTTAATATCATCTGCAACCAAAATAATTCTGAGACCCATAAGTTCATGGCCATGGCCCGACTAGGATATCTGTCTCGAGCAATTAAGCCGGCCAGTAATAACCGTAGAGTGTGGTGCTTACTCACACTCCCTTCGAGAAATGTTGCCTATGAGGCTGTTACTCAGCACCAATGCAGCAATGTAACATCAACTCTTCTAGATGCAACAGGTGCTATTTCATCAGCCGACCAAATTCATATACAGAGCAGTCATGTTAGAGTGCCTGGTGCCATGAGATAGATCCATTCATGTGAATGATCATTATTCGGGGGTTGGGGGTCGGGCATATCTTAGCCATCAGTATCAAAAGTGTAACATAAGGCGATGGCTCGTTGATTATACTGGGAACGGTTTCTAACTCTAAGAAGGGTCATTATCATTGCTTTACTTGCGCATAAGACTCTCTGGCATCTAGCCTACATCAACTTATTTCAACCTGCTTTGAGTTGCCCGGCAAAAGGACTGCGACCCCTGATCTTCTCCCCATAGATACATAGCAACCAAGGGACAAGCGAAAGAAGTAAACCAATGCCACCAAGCAGACTTCCCGCAACACCGTACCCAAGCTTCTGAAACATGACGTTGGTGAATAAAGGGAACACACCAGCGAGCAGGTTCCGGCACATGGACTGTGCTGCCAGAGCCGAGGAGGCATATCGGTGGTAGATGTCCGCCAGATAGTTGAAGACTGCGAGATAGATAGTGAAGATGCCAACAGTCACAGAGGTGATAGCGAGTGCGGGCGCGATCCAAGGAACGTCGGGGGACGAGCTCCAACCAAACCAAAACAGCCCGATCGGTAGGAAGAGTGACTCGACGCAGGCAGAGTAGAGTCTTCCTTCTGGCGTTGCCATCCGCTGAGGCATGAACTTCTTGAAGATCGGCTCCTGAAAGATTGTAATCACTGCTCCTATTACCGATCCAACAATGACTGAAGTGTAAATGCCTCCTACCTGGCTGTCGTTGAAGCCATACACGGAGCGGAACGCCAGACCAATACTGTTGAACTGCATGTACAGGATAGCCCATGCAAACGAGACCCAGGCAGAGAACCAAAAGACGACGGATTCAGTACAAAGGAGTTTGAGGGGGAAGGAGAAGCTCCGCCATATGATACTCATATCTAGCTCAGGGCCCTCAAAATGGGCGCGGAACTGGACACGAATAGGTTGCGACTGGCCTTCGCTCAGCTTCTCGGTGCCTTGTCGCAGTCCATTCTTGTCCCCAATCGGCGACGAGACCCGCTGGAGGTGAATGCTGTCGAAATGCTTGTTGAGGGCCACGCACTTCCGCTCAAGTACAACATTACTCCGCGTCTCGGCAAAAAAGAAGAATATGGCTAACGTCGTGGAACCGACAGTGATCATCTGCACGTAAAAGATCCATCTCCAATGAAGGTTGTCGACAATTATACCGCTGATCATGGGACCCAGCCCTGTTCCAATCATGATTGTTAAAGAGTAGAGGGCCATGGACGTGTTGCGATTCTCTTTATGGAATACGTCACCGATAACGCCCCCAGTCAGAGTCGCAAAGACCGAAGCCCCATTGCCCGTGATCAGACGAGAGACCAACATACCGGGGAACGACTGTGTCACCGCGCAGCCCAAGGTCCCCAGGAAGAAGACGGCCCCTGAGCCGACAAAGACCCAGTAGCGGCCATAGATCTCGCTGATCAGGGCTAGTATCATGGGCGCGAAGCCGAAGCCCAAGACGAATAAGGTGATGCCGAGATTGAATTCCGTGTTCGTGAGATGCCATTTCTCAATCAAGGGGGCAGCGGCCATGGCATATGCGCCGGCAGAGTAGGCGGCTAGGGTTGAGGCGAAGTAGGTCCCAAAGAGTACCGTGATCTTCTTCCCCAATGACCATGCGAATGGTGATTGGTATCTAGTATCGAGTGATGATGGGTAGTCCTCCTCGAGGAGGCCTTCGATACCGTTTGATTGCAAGCATTCCGAGAGCTGGAATGCTGGGTCTAGGGCCTCGATGTTGAGTGCAATATCAGTCGTATCTGTTATGGGTGTTGTTGACTCTCCGAGGGCAGTCGGGTTTGTTTTCTCCTTGACATGGTCGATGTTGGTAACCTCGGCTATGTTAGACCGTTCAATGTCAGAGTCGCCAGCCGAGACGCCTTCCAGAGGTAGAGGGACTTGGGCCATGGTTGAGTATGGCCGCATCCTAGGCCATCTGCGTCGATGACTGCGGTAATGACCATCGAGCAAGCCAAAGATCACGCTGTAGAAGACTCACTTCGTGCGTTACGACACAGCGGCGCCTTCGATCCATCGCCTCTGCCCTCAGCCTGTCGAGCCAAACAGCCGCCAAGTGATGCGGACGCGGAGACTTCTCCGCATGCCGCAATGCGTATCCGGTATCCGTCCACACCTTAGGGAGTCGTTTGCTGGTCAGGCTCCGATGATCGGAGGACCCTAGTCATTCCTCTGCGTCATTGTCCCCATCTGGTCAATCGGCTCTACAACTACGAACGGATACTTAGTACACCTCCTCATTGTCAGTGTGCAAAGTTATGAGACTGGCTAAATGAAAATTGCTAGAAAATGTTCATGATCAAGCTTTAGTTGGTACGATCGGACACAGACGGTGGTCACAGCGATGTTGCAGACGAAGGGAGTCCTCATGGTTCCCCCAACCGCCAATGCCCTCACGACTCCTTGTTTATGCTACCCGCAACGCACGCGTGGAACAATGAAGGAAATCGAACATGAGTGACACATTTTCATGAACACAGTGTTCTTTACACATATCCCCTGATCCACCAAGCAAGCTCTCCCAGTGTCGCGTGGTAGATCGTTTGGATGAGACCTCCGCAGGATCAGCGGTTGAAAGCGTGAGCGGTCCGGTCCGCAGCAACGCGCCGGCCTGCTTCCTTAACCCAAAAAGAGGTACATCCTGCTTCATTGGCACTAAACAGGGGGAAGATGCAGCACTTTATCCAGAAGACTGGAACTCAGAGGGGTTATCGGGGAGATGCATGTCTTCTGCGGGCATACAGATCGTAGGGCGAATGTTTCGGCTAATATGTTGAGCTATCAGGAAGCTTCCCCGGAACGAGGTAATGCGGGGCACGGCATCTTATCTCAGCCCATGTTCTCCCCTTTCGGACAGAATTGAGATAGCATCGAGAAGAATGAGATGTCCTGTCAACATCCGAGTCACTTGAATGGATACCCGGAATCTCATCATACTCCTTCTAGTAAGAGTTAGTCAAGAATAGATGCATGGCGACTCACAAATGCCTGTTTCCACGACCGGATGCTTGTAAAATACAAGCGCAGAAATTGTCTCTCCTTCGCATTAAGGTTCATGTCACCTCCCCCGACGCTGACAAACACTCGATGAGGTATTGTAAGACCGGGCTGAAAGCCTGCATCGTTATTCCTTGATAAGTCTCCCTCGGCCGATGGACGCTTGCTCTTTACTCGTATAGATGAGGACCAGATGGATTAGGTCTATCTATCAATAACATCCTCCAGTCCTAGGCCAGGATAGGTGTGCTTTACATGTCACATACGGGTCGTTCTCCTACTGATGCCTTCCATCCTGACGCAGTCATTCAGAATGATTAATAAAGTGATGCAACATTGCAAAGCTGATGTTGGAACATCATTTCTAGTGAGACGGGCCTGACCACTGCTTGGACAAATGAGTAATCAGGACGTTCATGCTCGGGCAAATGAGGCAAAGGTCCTAGGTCTCGCTGACCTCGCTTGGCCGCGGCTCATTGGCACTATCACGCGATGGTGGCTAGGATGGCTTCATTGCGCCCAGCTTTCGCATGAGGAAGGAACCAAGACTTCGGTTCAATATGCTTACCAGTCTCGTCTCTATCCCCGAGTGACAAGACACCTTTGGGGACCTTTTGTCAGGCAAAACTTCTCAGCTGAAGATCAGCAAGTTGCTGATTTGTTGATGTTCCCCGTCGCTCCCGAGAAACGTTGAAGATCCAGTCTCGCCATGAGAAGACGCTGCCTAGCGAGTCCGCAAGGGCGTCTACCCCCTGAGTGTCATGCAAACTTTGCGCGGGATGAGGATCATATCCCTTGTCTGAGATGCAGCCTGGAACTCGGTTACAGCCGATGGAAGGGTGCCCAAACCTTGCCATGGTTGCACCATCGGCGTCAGATCTCACGTACTAGACTGCAGCCCACAGCTACTATCGAGTCCAACGGACGGGCTGGAAATGATCATGGCAGTTTCTTTCCCAGAAGATCAGATCATTCCGCAGCGAGGTGTCACGAGAGCTCTCACAGCATGTCGTGAGGATTGGTTTCGTGGTGTTCAATGTTTAAACCAATTGATCTAAGGGAAGAGCACAGCAAGGCGTTGAAGAAGTTCCAACGTTATGTGAATCTCGAGATGTGCACGTACACGGAGAGAAGCACTTGCCTTTGGCCGCAATTGTCAATAAATGCCAAGACTTTTCGAAATTTGCCAGAGCGGGTGAAGTCAAGATATTCGCAGCTTCTCCCCCGCGAAGGATCATCGCTTTGCCCGGCCAGACACGACCAACTTTGAGGATAAACGGCAATTGGGGCGACAAATTCTTTCTCTCTTGAATTAACAAAAAGTTGTATGTATTTGAGCGGAGAAAAGTGCGACATGAGGTAGGATACATAGACATGAGAATGAGGCAGCAATCACTATCGAGATCATGGATGAGACGAGGTTCATGACTTGTACAGGCGAGTTTGGGTTTGTACATACTTCACCCAGAATAAGGTGATTCTCTTCAGATGGTAACTTTCGGGGCATACCTGATAGTCTTGCCACAATTTCAATGACGGAGCATTCATTCACGCCGAATTAGAAGAAAGTCATGATGTTCCTCTGCCGCATGAAGTGTTGTGAGCGTGAAGAGGTTCGCCCGCAAAGCTCAACCGACGCCCCCCGGGATAAAACCGGGTCCCAACACCAAAATTTTCCCACTTCGAGCCTTCGACATCTTGTCCTCAGATCGCGTCATCGGCCGAGTGGACCACAAACAGAAACTATGACACAGAACTTTTCGCACCAGACCACTGGGACTGCGGGATAGAAAACCCTTGTGCTTGTCCCTTGACAGTTCGAGAAAAGGAGCTAGGGTCTTGGGGGCCATGTTGGGGGTCCAAAGAGGGTCTCGAAGACTCCAAGAAGCCTTCCAAGAAGCTCCAGATGCTCGCAGCTCCATCATCCGTGGTCTCTCACAGGTAAATCTCGCATGCGGATACTCTCGGCGCACCACTGACGGTTAGACTCTTGAGTCTTTAGAGCCTCCTGACCCTTGCACGTCGGGACAGTGACCTTTGGGGCTTTTTGGTTTTTGGCTCGGCATCATGTTCGTATGTGCAAGGATACCTACTAATGCGGCGCAACCTCAACTACTCACCCCCAAGACGACAAGCCGATTCCACCCAGACGAACCTCTCGCCACATGGCGCCAATTCGGTGTAAATAAGACGTGATCTCCTTGGCGGGGCCAGCTCTGCGACAGACATAAAGTCTTCTGGCAGCCTTCTAGTTTCGTGGCTCTTTCGGATCGACTTCCGTTCTCCAGTCTTCCGTCTCCATCTGGTGTCTCTTCCTGGTCTCTGACCGTTTACACCCACGACGACAGGATCAGTTCACCATCGTCAAATCGTCAACATGTCCAAGCTTTTGAACAAGTTTGGCGCCTCGTCGTCGGCCACTGCTGCTGATGGTGACCACAGCAAGCATGGCGATCTCCCAGCCGCGACAGCTTACGATAGCGAAGTTGGTGAGTTTCCTTCATGATGATGGGCGCGGAGCACTCTGCGTGTGCCGAGCTCTGCCACACAATCGTCATCATGCTAATCAATCATCCCAGGCCGCATCGAGCACGCCCGCGAAAACAAGCGAAAAATCGGTGTCACCACCGCCATCTTCCTCATCGTCAACCGTGTTGTCGGCACCGGTATCTTTGCGACACCCGGCACCATCTTTGCACTTTCTGGTAGTGTCGGTCTTTCCCTCTTCATCTGGGTTGCCGGCATGATCATCGCCCTCGCCGGTACCGCCGTCTATCTTGAATGGGGAACCGCAATCCCCAAGAACGGAGGAGAGAAGAACTACCTCGAATACGTCTTCCGCAAGCCCAAGTTCCTGACAACGGGCCTCTACACCGGATACGTCATTCTGCTCGGCTGGGCCAGTGGTAACTCTGTTGTCTTTGGCGAGTACATCCTACACGCCGCCGAGGTCGAGGTCGACCGCTGGAACCAGCGTGCCATTGGCCTGGCTTGCATCACCACCGCCTTCTTGATCCACGGTCTTGCCCTTAACTGGGGTCTGCGCCTGCAGAACCTTCTCGGAACCATCAAACTGGTCATCATCGTCATCATCATCCTTTGCGGGTTCATTGCTCTTGGTGGCCACGTCAAGCTACCCGAGGACCAAAAGCCCAAGAACTTCCAAAACGCATTCGAGGGAACCACCGGCAGCCCCTACGGTGTCGTCACTGCTCTCTACAACGTCATCTGGAGTTACATTGGATACAGTAACGCCAACTATGCCCTCAGCGAGACCAAGAACCCCGTCCGTACCCTCAAGATTGCCGCCCCTGTCGGTATCATCACCATCTCCATCCTTTACATGCTGGTCAATGTTGCCTACTTCGCCGCTGTCCCGAGAGAGGAGATACTTGAGGGTGGTCGCCTTGTGGCGGCATCCCTTTTCCGTAACGTCATGGGCGGCACTGCCGAACGTGCTCTCTCGGTCTTCGTCGCCCTGTCCGCCTTTGGCAATGTTCTCAGTGTCATTTTCTCCCAGGGTCGTCTGGTCCAGGAGCTCGGCCGCGAGGGTATTCTGCCCTGGTCGCGTTTCTTCGCCAGCAACAGACCTTTCAACGCCCCCTTGGCCGGTCTCTTCGAGCACTGGCTGATTTGCGTCATCACCATGCTTGCTCCCCCTCCTGGTAAGAAAACTCGAGATATGTGTCATGATATATGCATACTAATAAATCTACAGGCGATGCTTATAACTTCATCCTCAACCTCATCAGCTACCCTCTCGCTATCATCAATGTGTTCGTCGCCGGCGGTCTCGCTTACCTCTACCTCAACCGCAAGGAATGGAACTGGAACCCTCCCATCAGTGCCAGCCTACCCGTCGTCATCTTCTTCATGCTCAGCAACATCTACCTCGTCATCGCACCCTTTGTGCCCCCTGAAGAGGGCCAGAATGTTTACGAGAGCCTTCCCTACTATCTCCACTGCGTTGTCGGTATCGCCATCATCGTGGCTGGTGGTCTCTACTGGGTCGTCTGGGCCAAGATCCTGCCTAAGATTGGCAAGTACGAGTTAGTTCGCGAGACTGTCGTTGATGAGATTGATGGCTGGGAGAGGAATGTGTTCTTCCGCAGACCTTATGGCGAATCTGTTCCCTCAGAGCGTCATGTTGGGTCTCCAGAGCCTGAGGTCGCTAAGTGAGCACGTCTACAGCCCGATTCTGATGCGCGACCGAAACGTGGCTGAATGAAATACGGCCATTCCACATTGATTTTGAGTCATATACCCTAGCAGCATAGTCTAATACTTTAATATCCCACTCTTGGTAAGCCTAGTAGGCGTAACCGTTCAATTATCTTCCTAAACTTCCCTTGAGCCCAACATCAACTACACCAGAAGAATAGTTTGACTCATGTGAAATATTTGGATTTGAATGAGCTGGATCCCTGGAGCAGGCTGCAGAAACCAACTGGATACCCACCTCTCAACCCAGCCCTCCAAGTCATCTTGGACTTGAGTCTTAGCTCATGGGGTCTCGTGTGGCAGCTACTTCCATGGAGGAAAGGCTAGAAAGCAAGAAATTATTCAGCGCTAAGCACGTATGGCACGACATGGTTGCATCGGGAAAAAAAGCCTCGACGCAATAAACTGCAAGTAAACTGCAAAGGTTCAAGCTTGTATGAAATGTTCCCAACAACGCACTGATCAATTCAACTCCATGTTGTCTGCTTAAACAGACAGACTTTCTTAAAATGATCGGCTACTTAAGTGCTCTTAGGCACGAAACATCTTTTTGCTCGACGCCTTGCAGCACCAACACTAAGTGAGACATGTCAGCCAGCAGATCTTACACGAAGCATCACTGGAAAGGAATTGAAGTGAACGATGTACCTGCACGGTCATTTGTACGCTGTGATCGGAACTTGAGGCAATCCAACAGTCGGCGTCGTTTTGGCCGGACCCAGCAGGGCAGGGAAATCCTCCAAGCTTGCCCTTTGCTTCACAGTCTGCCGTTGAGTCCTGGAGAAAGCAACATGAAGATTAGATAAATTTGTGAATCGTGAAACCTTGATAGTCCGACTTACGCAGTTGACTGTCTCTGGCTGGCAAGTCACAGGTGTGATTCCATTGTTCTGAGCAAGCGAACCTGCGGCGAGGAAGAAAAGCAGTGTGATGCTTGCGACGAATGAACGCATTATCTTCTGATTTAAAGGTTGTTTATCAAAGTTGGGATATTAACGGTGTCTGATAGAATGATGTTGGATAGGATGATATCTGGGCTGAATTGTAATTGTGAGTTTCAAGTTATTCCTATGATTGTGTCAAGAGGGCGTATGCCTTTGGTGGATTGACGACCTCTTTATCTACAAATTCTGGATAATCAAGGTTGTCTTCAAATATTGCGATCTACGTTAGCAATGCTAGTCCGGGACGGTCTGACGTTGTTTTCAAAACAAAGATTCAATCAACTCCCGACAGCGAGTTCCTAAGCGGGCCCGAAAGGGACGGCAAAGCCTTCGTAGGGCTGCTGAATATTATGCATTATTTTTGAGGCCAAGAGGGTTTTCCATTGTTCCTAGACTTGGCCAAGGGCCCCCGTATGAGCTTTCTCAAAATTGATTGGGCAAGTTAGGGACAGACATCAACTTTAAACTCGGTTTCGGCGGATGGCATGCTTCTTAGTCAGATTTCCCCAGTGTTTCACTATAAATGACTTTTGCTGGAGCCACGGCCAAGACAATGCATCAGCTGATAGCGAGAAAGTGTCCGAAAGGCAGGCGTTCTCGTGAATTCTTGCGCTGATGGTAAAATGGGACGATGGCCTAAAGGCTCTGATTCTTAGAAACCGAACACCCTGGTTAAGAAATGGGCAACCGGATTATCTTCATGTACCGACTGATTGTACTGAATCGACAACTCTTCAAGCTCGCTTCTTCAAAGGCCAAGCGAATGCCCCCAATGAGGAGCAAAGCATGAAAGAACCCAAGAACAAAATGAGCGACTCATAACGGCCCATCCCATACCCCCCGCTCACCGGCTTGGTCAATAATCCAGCAGTAATCGGGCCAGTGGCCAAGTTTCCGATGCCCTTGCCAAACGCCATCATGCTGTACACGGGCTGCGGGTCGTCGGAAAGCATCGCCCCAAACTTTGGCCAGTTGATGAGGAAGCCTCCAGCAAACATGCCAAAGACCAGTGCAAAGATGACCAACAGCGGGAGAGAGTGGGCGAATCCCCAGAGAGTAAAGGCCGCCACTGCCGACGTAAAAGAAGAGACGAATATTAGCATAAAGACATTGTTCGTGTGGTCGGAAAGCCATCCGAATCCAATTTGTCCGAAGACGGTCGCCAAGTTGTGGGCTGCGAGGAGAAGCGCTCCCATGGTACCGGATAGCCCAATGGCACTGGCGTAGGAAGGCAGATACAAAGACGGGATGTAGTAAGCGAAACCCTGGAACAAGTTCGAGAGTGCGAAGCAGTAGAATAGAGGCTGTCTCAGGAAGCTGATGTCGAACATGCGCATGGCACCGTGAGGGGATGGCGGCAGTCGGCCCTTGATCATGTGTAAGATGGGCGCAACCCCAAGGAACTGAGCGACAGCTACAGCCCGGAGCGTCGTCTGATAGCCATACTTAGACAACAGTACCTGCAGCAGGAAAGGCATCCTGACACCGCTGAACCCGCCGCCGGCGTAAAGAACGCCGTATGCGAGTCCACGCCGGGCGACGAACCACTTGTTCAACATCCGCAACACTGGGAAGTAGAGCATCAAAAATCCAAAGCCGTACAAGACGCCCTGGGTTGCGATAAGACCCGCGATGGAGGTGGCGAAGGACGCGCCAACGAGAGACGCGACACACATTGCCCAGCCGATGACAACCATGTGTTTCTGGTAGCGGTGGAATCTTTTTACTACCGGAGCGGCGAGCGGCGCTCCAAGGAAGTATATACTGGTGGATACCGTGCCAATGACAGCGATGTTGGAGTTGCCCTCGAATTGTGGCTGAGAAGAATAGTATTCCTGAAAGACACCAAAGGTCAAGGGAAATCCTAGCAAGGTTAGCAACACCGTCCCGAGAGACTCTTCGAGAAAGCTTAGAAATACCCCATAGAAGTGCCTCAATAACAAAGCTGGAAAGCAAAAACTTCCATGCCGCGGCGCCCTTGTCAGTCGGCGGCATTGTGTGGAATCAAGGTGTTTCCGTCCTCCTCATCAGTCTGCGGCGCCGAGGCGACGGCGCCGGAGTTCGGCATCGGGCGCAGTTCAACCGACATCTTGACTGGAGCACCAGAACGTGAAAGACGTGTCTTTTGATACAGGCCTTCCGTCAAAACGCCTTGTAGATGAAATTTTGAGTTTCCTCTCGTTCCCCGTGGGGTAGTCTAGGTTTTTATGACGAAGAGTCTTGAGAAACCGACACCGGTGCCGGACCGGGACGGCATCCGGTTGTGGGGTAGCAACACTGGGTCAAGAGTCATTTTCACATGAAAGGGCGCTCACCTTTCCTAGTTAGTGAGGTACTTTTGGTCGCTTCGAGTTATGCGGTCTAATAGGTTTTGGAAAAGCAATTGTGTTGTGCGTAATGGGATTAAGTCTTGGGATTTCTGTTTTCCATGCATGCTACTACTGTTTACCGGATCTTGCCGTGAATTTCTTTGGTGAATATCCAAAATGCCTGTCCATGAAATATAACTCCGATCGCTCGTTTGGGTTGGCGGCGTACTTGAACATCTTACTTGACAAACATGGCCTGCCAGTCAGCATAGACACAACTTTACTCTACTTAAGCAGCAAATTTTGGAGGGTTCTTCTCAGCGTTTATCAATAAGACGGTGTGCTATGAATCATCATGAGTAATAGGATCTTCATGCCTCCAATTGGTTGAAACGTCAATCCTACAATCTGCCCGATGCAGTCACGTAAGCTCGCTGGCCGACATGACGCATTGGACCCTGATTCTTCGCGCGCAGGGGTCCTTGCTGTCAAGCGACGCCCTATTGAGTTTTCCCCAATGAATAAGGTACACCCACATGGTCCTCTGAACAACTAGAAGGATTCTGTTTAATTTTTGTTTACGATAAGAAGCAAGACCGCGAATAAGTAGAGAAGCACTCATCTTTATTTCGAGGCTCGAGCTACACAAGTCGCTCGCATCCTAATTAAGAAGTTTCACTGCCGAGTCATTTGCAAGCTTCAGCACAACTTCACAGGTCACACCATAGTCCTCCATTGCCGCAACAATATCTCATCGAGGAATCCAACCTCAGCATGACAAAGACAAGCCTTTTCGAAGACTATGTGGTCACCGATAGAGGCGGTGTCATCGAAAACCGACACGGAGTCCACGCCGCAGTCGTCGATGCCAGCGGCAAAATCCTCTATGCAGTCGGCAATCCTTCACGAATGACGCTGGCTCGCTCCGCGGCCAAGCCGGCGCAAGCTCTCGCAGTGCTCGAAACTCCAGGCTTTGACAGGTACGGTTTCGATGGCGCTGATATAGCGTTGATGTGCGCATCCCACAACAGCGAAGAGCGGCACGTCTCGAGGGCAAGGTCGATGTTATCCAGGGTAGGAGCGAAAGAGTCAGACCTGCGATGCGGCGGTCACCCTTCAATCTGTCCGGTAGTCGATAGGTCCTGGATCAGGGCTGACTTCACGCCCACCGAGATCAACAATAACTGCTCTGGTAAACATGCGGGCATGCTGGGCGGCGCGAAAGCTCTGGGTGCGAGTTTCGAGCACTATCACCTCCCTCGCCATCCGATCCAGGTCAAAGTGAAACAAGTTGTTGAAGACTTGAGCGGGCTTAGCGGTGACGAGATCAAGTGGGCAATCGACGGGTGCAATCTGCCAGCGCCTGGGCAACCTCTCTATTCCATGGGACGCATGTATGCAGCCTTTGCCGCGGCCGCGGATGCTGTCGAGGAGGACGAAAACGCTCAACCCGCGAGAGTGAAGCGCATGTCCGATATTTACAACGCCATGGCGACGTACCCCGAGATGGTCGGCGGAGAAGGACGTTTCTGCACTCTACTCATGGAAGCGTACGAAGGCGGTCTCATCGGCAAAGTTGGCGCAGACGGATGCTACACCATCGGTATCCGAGCATCAGATTCCACGAAGAAACTTGGCGCGGAGGGAGCTGTTGGCATTGCGGTGAAAATCGAAGACGGAAGCCTCGAGATCCTGTATGCTGCGGTCCCTGAGATACTGGATCAGCTTCAAATTGGGACGCCGGAGGAGCGACGAAAATTGGCGAGCTTCCATCATCTGAAGCGCACCAACACCATGGGCGTTGTAACGGGTCAGGTCTCGCACGCTTTCAGTGTTCGCCGTGTGGATTAAGTTCTATCGCGTACCCTTTGCGGTGGAAGTGAACTTCTGGAGATGGTTGAGATGGATTACCAACAGTCATGGGCGGTTGCCATTTCTCGCTGCATGATAGAGCAAAATAGATGAGTTCATATTACCAAGCGACCGCGGAGTGACTCATTTTCAATCATGATGGACATAATATACAATGAGGTGAGGTAGTATCCCGATATCTTTCCTCAACTGAGTGAAACCAGCGGCCCAGGTTTAAGCCTGGAATGCAGAATCTGAGGGACTGATGTTAGGCCGATTGAAGTAAGCAAAGCTTAGCAATCACATAACGAAACATGTGCGCGCAGTGCTCATTGGCACTGCACTGAAATGCCCCTCGTCTTATTCCCGTTTACTGCGTGCCTAGGCGAGTCGATGCATCCCCGCACGGCATGATACCGGGGAAGCCACTGAACACCGAAGTAAGTGATGTAGTAATTACATGTGTCTTGGTCTGTCTTGAGTGCCCGCGTAGATTGGATCATATTCTGTCACCTGTATAGTGATAACACCTCCAACAGCCAGCTGTCTCCTGTGACCCTATGGATCCGCAGGAATCTGAGGGGCTGGATCAGCGCAAAATAAGATGTTTGTTGATTATGGTCGACGGAAATGCCTCGAGACTACCGCCAAGCCCAAGTGGCTGACATAGGTCGTGATGCTATACGAAACTTGCAGATGATGTCTATATTCAACGCTTCCCCTCCTGCGATTGAATTCAATTCTTCTTTCATCACCACATTACTCTAGGATCATTCCACACCTAGTAAGTCGTCTAAATCGCTTTTTTCAGGACCATACATCATGTCTTCCATCGCCAAAGACGACAAAACCTCACCGTCCTTCATTCCTCTCGCCGGGGTAGCTCAGGATGGCTGGTCAACGGAGAATGAAGCAACGGCAACGTGCCTCTGTGGCGCTGTTCAACTATCATTTGTATGCCTTCACATCTACCCCTCCCAAAAGACAAACTCAATGCCTAAAAATCATCTCACTCACTAACAATCCTTATCAGCCAACCCAAGGCCGCGGCCTCCTCAATCGCTTCATTTGCCATTGCACAGACTGTCGCAAAATCTCCTCCTCCATGTTCTGCTCCAACTTCTCCGTGGCCGACAGTCACCTTCGCCACATTCGCGGCAAGGAGAACCTGAAATCTTTCAGCCAGTCCCGCACTATCGCGACGGGCAACGACATGGCGAATCACTTCTGCGGCACCTGCGGCACGCTCATGTACCGTGTCAGCTCCGGTCTACCAGGCATGAGCATTCTCAGGCTGGGCACTGTTGATGATTTCCGCCTCGTTGAGACGAAGCTGAAGCCGCAGGTCGAACAGTTTATCGACACGCGCGCGTCTTGGTTGAAGCCGGTTGAGGGCGTCATGCAGTTGGACCGGATGCTTACAGCAAAAGATATCAAGAGTCTTTTATAGATGGTTCATACAATGAAATTTGCTTAATGCTATTCCATTCAAACGTTCATATTGATTAAAAACCAAGCCGGCACTCTTGAAGATCCAGACCCGTCGCGAAATTGCGTTGAGTTTGCGCAACCCCAGCATCTCCCAGTGGTATCATACTGCTACATACTCTTCCCTGTCTTCGATCTGGCCGGTCTCGTGATTCTTCAGATAGAAATGCACTTTTTTCCGTGGCGGAAGCGTGGCTTCCGGCGGTTCCCGAAAGTTCATCGCGACGATGCGCCTCTCCTCCGGCACGAAGCCACCGCCACGTTCATCATAGGTATCCAAGTCGTCCAACTCAATAGTATCGCTGAGAACGATGTTATGTTCAATCTCAACCACTCGCTTTGCGATAGACCATGTCAACTTTCTCTCCCAAATATTCTTTCCGGGCTGCATGAGCTTCTTCATCAACCTCCGGGCCTCGAGTCGCAGTCTTAGGTGGCGGCACCTGATGACCACCATGAAGAGGAGAGAGCTGTATCCGAGCTCGAGAACGCTTTCGGTGCCCCAGCCTGCCGAGGACTCGGAGGTCTCTGAAGGGCCTTCCGCCTGTGATGCGAGGACAACAATAGCTCGGAATTTGTCTGTGTGCGCATCGTACACGCACTCACCCTTTTCTTTCTTCTCAGAGGCTAGAAGCGCAATCCTGGCTACGAGGTAACGGATGTCTAGCAACCGTATCATGTCCTCCTCCTTGCTGGTATACCTCTCCTCCTTCTTCATCTCCCTATATGCCTTATACCACGCATCTAAATCAACGAGGATGAACTGCCGAAGCCACTTTGCGTCTGGTTCTGGACCTTCCTTCCCAATCTCAAGCCAACGGTCGGTAATACATGCACATTCCAAGTGCCGAACAAGACGTACGTGGATCGTCAGGAGTCGAGCGTGAGCGTCTGCGACGTTTTGAATTCGGTTGGTCGACGTGGGTATGGGCTGGCGCACCATTCGAAATGTTTCTGGATTAATTCCGTATCGGTCCGGCGCGATGCTTAGCTGCCGCGTGACCGGTGTGACGTGGTTTCGCAGGAAGTCGGATTCGTTATGTATCTCGTTCAGGATGTTGATTCCGTGCCGGCAGTGGGTTGTCGCATCTTTCGGGTTCCGACGGATCAGCTCTATGCAGATGAAAAGCACGCAAACGAAGAGAATCAGCGCGCGATCCGTTGTGGTGCGAAGGAGCTTGATCGCCTCGTTATAGTGCCACACAGAAAAGGGGCTTGCTTCCCATGATCCGTTGCTGAAGGTCTCGTACAGGGAGCTAAGCGCCAGCACAGCGTGGCTGGCCACGGGCTCCTGGTCCGACATTTGGATCACAACATTGGTCCAGAAGTATGAGTTGAGGGACCCAGCAAAGGCTGGTGCCGTGACCTTGCGGTAAAAGTCCATTGTTCGCTCGGCGTGGACGATACTGGCCCTGCTCGGCTGTGTAGCCCTAATCAAAGATGCATTATTCACGGGGCATGACCTCAAGAGTTGCGCCCAAGAGTACGTCGTTGTCGGCGGGGAGATGTAACCGTCACATTTGCGGCCGGTGGAGATGCATCTCGCACAGGATGGACGCGCCTCGTCGCATTTGATACGCCGGATCTTGCAGGTTGTACAACCCGTTTTTACTCTTTGTGTGCCAATTCGGGCCATTGCGGTGGTCGACTCAAAGGTTGACGAGATGGCCGCGACAAGTCAGGCGTGAAGTGATTTCATCACATCTAGCCGTTTCAACTAGGTCGTCCAACGAGAGGTGCGATATTGGTCCAGCCAAAAACACGAGGAGTGATATTGCGGGGGAGACGATATTCGTTGTATCGATCATATAAATCCATCAATGGGCAGCCGGTGGCAACGTAGACCCTGTATACAATACCTTGATGCGTCAAGGTTTGGAAGCCAATGTTGTTCTTCGAGTTTGGAGCACCTCGCCTGACCTAGCCGCTTGGATGAACATCCGCAACAGTGAAGCATTGACAGCAATCCTAGGCGAATACTGGTTTCGGAACGAAATTCCTGGGGGCTTTCATAGAGCTTGGACAAGTTCGGATGCCGTGGGGCATTTGACGAACACACCAATAGTTCTTAACAGCCGGAAGCTTTCTTGCCCGTGCCAGACTTGGGTTTTTGGGATGAAACAATTCGGATACCGGCGGCATGCCAAAGGGGAACAATTTGTTGACGATTTATAGAATCTTGGCTGTCAATAAAAGAAGAGTTTGGGGTCGTGACTACGGCCAGCGTGCTGGAATTTGCACGATTTAAAAGCTTTAGTGTTTCGAGAACGCTAAGAACGTATGGGAAACTGCGACGCAAGATAATTTTTTCGCTTCCCAGCTTAGAATCATAGTCTGAGGATGTATCTATGGCAATAAGCATAAAATACAGTAAAATTGTAAAATTTCGGAAACGGCCCGCGTCATGGTGATAGTGTTCACCGCTCACCTGGCCAAGGTGAGGCGCCCACCGATCAGCCCGATCTCACCGAGGGATCGACAGTCTGGACCGCCATAGACCTTAAAATACTGCATTTGGGCTGGCGCGAGAAGCGAAGCGAGCCAACAGAAGGCTCCCCTGGCCACTGAGTATGGACCAATTGCAGCTAAGCTTTCTCCGGAAGCCTCCGGCCACAGCACCGCCGCCCTTGCTGCGATTTCCCTCCCCTCCCTCACCGCATTTCGTCAACGTCACCCCGCAACTTTTTACTGCAATTGCCACCGTCTACCTATCGTCCGCGGGTGCTCCCTCGAGCAGGTCCCGGAATGACCTGACACGCATGGCGACTGACGTCGAAATGCCACCCAATCGAACCCGTACAACATGTCGTTTCGCCCGTTGCGGCCGCGGCCATTAGCCGAAGGGTCACCGGCCACCCTACGGCAAAATCACGATTCCAATTCTGATCCCAATGCCGAACCCGGTAGCGGTACCGTACGCGGTCCCGGTCCTGGGCCTGGTCGACCTAACATCAGCCTCCGCCGTCCTGCGCGGCCACGGAAGACCAACAGCGCCTGCGATCCGTGTCGAAGGCGAAAGACAAAGGTAGGCCTCGGCTTCCCCTGTCGCCGTGCATTTGCCGCTGCGGCGTTGTTCCTTGAAGTGCCAATCACTTGAAATGCTTTGAATCCCGTTACCTGGGGTGCTAATTACCGTCTTGATAGTGCGATGGACGACTCCCTCGATGTGTCATGTGCGATCACCGGACGGAGAATTGCGAGTATACCTATACCGTCCGACATCGAGTTACTCTTGCCGAAGTAGAGCAGTCCAAACGAGGTGGCCCTGCCGAGATACTCGAATCTCTTCGAACTCTTCCGCCAGAACGAGCCCTCGAATTGTTTTACAAACTACGCAACGAGACACCCGACCGTGGTCTGAATCTGGCACGCCCGTCCGATCAGCAACACCTTAGAGGCCTTCTTCCACCGACGCAGAATAGCCTTGGGTTCGAACTGACGATTCGACACCCCGTGGCATATCCTGCTCTGTTCCCGGTGCCGTACACGGACTTGACTCTTGGAGCCTTACTTCAGCCTGTGACGAAGGCCTGGTTGCAAGGGCAGCAAGAGCCGCAAGACGAGTATGTCAATCCTTATTAATGGTCTGGCCCAGATCCTCATTGTCAGGGAGACCCATGAACGTTGCTTCAACAGACACCTCGATGGCAAGATGGCTCGAGGCTCGGCCGAATGCCGCCATAGCGCATTGACTGACAAGCCACAGGTCTTCAAGGCAGGTTTCCCCTTTTGGGGGTCCATACCTGACTCCCGAGCGAGATGAGGACATAAATTTAGGATCAAAAACCGGGTTGCTCGATCATACAGGGGCCAGGACTCCCAAACCACTCTTTGACGAACGATTACGTCTGCTTGACATCAGCAAGTGGACAAACATTCCAATACCGAACGACCTTGCCATCAGTATTGTATCGCACTATCTTGACATTGACTACGCTACGATACCCCTTTTCGATGCCGACCTGTTTGTACGAGATCTGGTTAATGTTCAACCTTTCTTTTGCTCTCCGTTTCTTGTCACTGCTGTCTTGAGTTGGGCGTGTGTATGTTGCCCATCATCATCCCCTTTGCAATGCTCTAGGGCTAACGCCAGCAGCAATCATATACGACCCTCCATGCCGATGCCGCCGCTTTCAGTGTGGCTCTTTTCGCGGAATCCCAGCAGTATTTCTCCGATCAGCAGCAACCCAATAGCGTCACAACAATTGCTGCATTGCAAATACTAAGCATGTGCGCCGTGACGTACGGCAAAGACGATATGAGTCTCCGATTCCTGCAAGAAAGTGTCAGGTTGGGTAAGGCAATGGGCCTTTTCAATGTTCAGTCCGAGGCGGAATCTGCGACCGTCTGGCTTGGCGGCCATGCAGAGTGGACGAGAGCGGCGTCATATACAGCTTGGGGCGTTTATAATTGGGTATCGTGAGTAGCCTTCACGTTGTCAGCGTTGCGATTGAGGCTAACCTACCTAGGGTGTATTCCCTCCACTACCGCGTCCACGAAATCCACATACCGCCGTTGCTGCCGATGCCGCGAGATCTGATGTTCTTCTTACCAAGCGACGATCCGAGGTCAACTAAGATAGCGTTCCATGCCCAGCTTCTCAGTGCCGCGAGTGACATGTGGGTCATCTTCAAAGACATGTTGGAAAGATTCTACGGCCCTCAATATCATGGCACCACGCTTGAGTCAACACTGAGGTTCGCAGAAGGGACATATCACCGTCTACTTTGCTGGGCTGGCGCACTCTCTTTGGATATGGCAAGAGGCGAAGAGAGTCACCATAGCGTCATGCTGTTGCAGTACGTCCCCCGCCCATCCTTGGTCATATGAACCATTCATCTAGCACCTATCAAGCATTTAGACAGAACGCTGACATCGTCCAACAGCGTTTACTTTCACGCCGTGGTAACCGATCTATTCCGACCTTTCCTCGCAACAGAATACAAATCGCGACGCCTATACTCCTTCACCACACAGTACGCCACTCCTGAAGCAGTCTATGCATCGTCCGTTACACAGCTCAAGCGACTGCTCCTGCTTTATCGCCTGGGGAACAAGAACGCGAATTATTCCGTCCTATGGCAGACTGCAGTCGTCTACGTCGCCAACGCCATGATCCAAGAGGGGGGATTATCACTACGGGCTGATGGTCAACCCGGCAATGAGTGGAAATTCTACTTGGACGTCTGCCTCGCAGGCCTGGAGGACCTGTACGCGTCGTTCCCTGTCTTTGGGTCAATCGCCCAGGGCATGGTCGGTATGGCGCTGCGACACTCGGCGATACAAACAAACAAGGCTACCCGCGTACTGGCGCAGCTCGATGATATTGAACGTCGGCACGCATCTCTCAAGGGCATGACGGACAAGACGGAGGCGAGGTGGATCATCGATTTGGACCTGGCAACGACTGATTTCGAGGGGGCTCAAGCCCGTAACCTCATCGAAGAGCTTCAGAAGTTGATGGTTGAGCAGACCGAGTCCGAGAATGTGGGTGACGAGGGCTAATCGTGAGGTATTTATACCCTGACTTTTGGAGCTGTCCATGGGGAATTCCCCGATATATATGAAGTAGTTTTGTATTCTTCGGCAATCTTTGGTCATTCCAAAAGTTGATCTAAACCAAGACTCTCTACGATACACGGAGTGAGGGCTTGATGAGTAATGAAATGGGATCGCAGTTCGAGATATAAGATTAGAGATGGACCACATCCAGCTGCCTATTGAACAATTTGAAAGAGTCTTTGACCATGTCGATGACCGTGACTGCTCGGTCTGATGTGACGTTGTGCTGGCGGCGAAAGAAAACGGGTGCTTCTCACTAGGAAACGAATTGAGCAGCCTGACGCGAGGATACCGCGTGGATCACTCTGCATGAACTTTTTTCTCATTGGCCAACGGAGCTTGTTCCGTGACGACTCTCGATTAGAGAGCTCTTATAGTTGTACATGTAGTTCTGGAGGGGACAAACCAATTGTTTCTGGCAGGAAGACAAAAGAATGTACGCGAAAAGTTGTCTTGATCTATTCCACCCCCATTCTAGATTTCCAGTGATCCTTCCCCATCCAACACCAACCAAGCATCTTCAAGGTAACTGATAGTCCAGAGGCCATCAACGACGTGTCTTCGAGGTCTTGTAAAGATTAGCGTTCCTTGGATGTTCGAATCATCCCCGTAACGCTGTTTCTGGTATCTTATTGGTGACCTTGAAACAATTAGCATTGGTTCGGTTTGTGGAGAAGCAACATTCTTACCAGTGTAGCCAAATTATCGTGGGAAGCAAGAGGCAAACTTAGGGGCCTGCTCGCCACTATGATCATTGCCTTATTGATCACCCTCGTCATCGCCTCTATAAGGCTCTCCAAAGAGCCTAGCCCACCTTTTCTTGGCCTCCTCGTCCAAAGACCCACCTTGAATGTGCCCCCCAAACATCGTCAACCTATCCCAGTACTCGAAGCACCGCGAATTGAACATCAACTTCAAAGTCAACTCAAACACCGGCTCGGTTCCGTCCCTCCCAATGTGAGTGACGAGCCAAGTAAACGTGGTCAAGACGTTGGCAAGCTCTCCGTCAACCGCTCGAATAGCGGCGATGGCGTCATCAGAGGATTTGCCACCATTGCCATCATCGTCGGTCGTCACGTCGACGCCCAACAGTTCTGCGCAAGAGGCGATGAGTTGGTTAGCACGTATGTCGCCCGTCTTCTAAGCGGACGCCACTTCGTTCCAAATCCTTGACTTCTCATTGTGCGTCGGACCTAGACAGTCTTCGAAGGCCTCTCGCACTTGGGTTTTGCCAAGATCTATGTCGTCGATCTTGATGAGAGCTTTGAGTTCTCGAGCACATTTGGCCACATGCTTTCCGTCAGCTAGATCTGTTTCAAACAGTCTCTGGAGAATACGACGATCGATCTCAGAGATTCGATCGGCGTCGGCCGCATCGTACTCAGCAATGATCTGTTGAATGTTGATCCCACCGGGTAATCTGCGTGTTGCACCGGGCTGGTCCCCCAACCCAGGCCAAGTGAGATGGCCGTCGGGGCCTATCGTAACCGACTTGTCGATGAGCCCTGCGTTCTGCCCGTATCGGACCTTTCTGATGAAGACTTTGTAGTATTCCTTGGTGTCTTGGATATCCTCATCATGTGAGATGGACATACCGGAGGGGCTATCGGTATTTCTGTCCTCATCTTCGGGCTCAGGTGGCGCCTGGGAACGTGCGTCGATAGTCGCCACCTCAGACCAGGGAGATCGAACCGACACCTTCGGCGCCGACCATATCTGGTGATTCAGTTGATAATGGTAGGGCTGCGAGGCTTCGATGCATATTTCTTCGTCGGCGACGGGACGTCAAAGATCCGGGTTGGACTGAATGTGCTTTGGAACGAATAAATCATGCATCAGCGTATCTCTCGTCGTACTGCCGCTGTCAGGCCACTTTTCATTGGTATATCCAGCGAAGCCCAGAGTGTAGATGTCGGGCATCCTTAGCAGAGCAGTGAGCTCTGGGGAGGGCGGTGCTCGAGGTCCGTGGTTCAGAGGCATGGTGAGTTGTGATCCTTCCCAAGAAGGGGGCACGATTTCTATTCAGTCCTCCTCGCCAAGTGCCATCTCATCAATGCACTTGAAAACAAGATCGGTATTGATGTCCTCATCGTTGATGACGAAGGCGCCGAGCTTCTTGTCGTTGCTGTAAAAGTAATCCACGGCGCGAAAGATGTGGACGTAAGCCGCGAGCTTGAGTTCTTCGTGGATCCGAAAATAGTGCGGCCCATACAATATGATCTGGGCAAGTGAAATCAAGGGGACAGGCTTCATGGGCTTCTTCAATTCCTTCTCGGCTCCTAGATCGAGAGCGTGGTAGCAATCATGGTAAATGATGGCCAAGATCAAGGCCAAGTTAGGAGACACAACATCCTGGTCATACTTGCCAAGGAACCCATCGATCTCTTCCATGAGATCTTTTGGGATTGCCCTTCCCTCCATTTTGGGCATCATCATTCGAAAATGTCTCCACTTGTTCTCTCTCGTATCAGATATGGCTGCGTAATCGGGTGCAGTCCCTGCAGAGGCCACAAGCAAAGGACATGCGTGGCCCGCGGCGAAGGCATGCTGCTGCTGATTTTTGTATAACGCTTTCTCGTTCTCTGATACGGTTCGGAATCTGCTCCCATAGCCCTGATCCCTCGATAAGTGCTTAAGAAAGAGCAACTGATAGGGGCGAAGCATATCGACGGGCGGGATGATGAGACACGGAAGTGTCATGCTCGAGCCGGTACGTGCAGTACTTTCGTAGGTATTGTTTTTCAGCGAGCTCATGGCGACGCCACGAGTGAATACGGGCGTAAAGTCAGTTGCATTAATACCGACGAAGTAGGAGTCGTTCGTGAGGGGTTGATCATTCTTGTACCGTCGATGACACCGTTTGAGCAGGGTGACGATGATGCAGTTGCCGGGGTCGTTGAGGACGGCCACCTTTATCAGATTATCTCCGGAGAAGGTGTAGGCATCGCTTGAGTCATCTGGCGTGAATGGGCCAACTTGTGGGTTTAATCGAGTGTCGGCAAGTTGGATGAGTTCTGGTAGCCCGTCGTTGTTTTTGATGGCATGGACTTGACCATTGCGCCGGTAGCGTGCAATAGCACCCTCCATGGTAGTGATTCAGAGTCGACGAGATTGGCTTCCGTATGGCGCTTGCCGGGATTTCGAGGACGCTGCGTTGAAAGGTCGACGTGGCGGATGAGAGGGGAGAGGTTGATTACTGCGGGAAAGAAAAGAAGAGGCAAATTTGAAGATGGGATGCCTATCGCGTGGGCGAGGCAGTCGCAAGTGCGAAAGTTCTTGCGTGGGTTGAGTTTGACGCGATATTTGAGTGGGAAAGAGGAGAGAGCATGCAGACTGCGAATCAAAGAAAGACCACGGGCTCTTTCCGTACAAGGTACCTGACCTTCGGTTTTCGAGGTGAGGCGGTCAGTGAAGGAAAGAATAATCCAGAACTTAAGGTGCTGGCTGCCTCGGAGTGGGATTATTCAGATTATTCCAAAGTAAGTTTCGAAGCTGAAAGCAATCTCTCTTGGCCACGTCCATAAGATATTTGGCAAGGGGAAGTTCTCAAGTATAATAAGGACCTTTTATAACCGAGGTGAATGGTATCATCGCCAATTAATCGATAACGAACGGAGAAGCTGCATTTGGGCGGCCTCAAATGACTGAATATACTCTTCATCGGATCTACCTACCCAAAACTGCCTTGCCAACCTACCTCAGATGGGATCAGCCTCAGCATCATCAACCACAAGCTCCTCCTCCTTCTCTTCAACCTTCGCCTTCTCGGCCCCCAAAACACTCTCACCTTCATCCTCTGGACCCTCTCCCTCTCTCCAAGCCTCGGGCCCAAGATACCTCCTCGGCCAAATATTCATCGCAGTCTTCAACCCATTCCCAACAGGCAACCCAGCATGCACAACCCTCCCATCCCCCGTCCCATTCTCATGCAAATTCACCCAAAACACTGCATTCCCCCTCACAGGCTTAAACGCGATCCCTCCATCATTATGCTTCCTCCACACGGTCCTCTCAGCATCTTCCAGCCTACGATGCTGCGGCGTAACAGCCTCAATCTTGGGAAACCACGTCTCGCCACCCGTACACTCGTCCTCCAAAATCGCAAAGAAGCTCGCCACGCGGTTCCACTTCCTTCTACGTCCTGTCCTGGCATCAGGTTGGAAATCATCGTACCAGTCGTGGTGGACGTTGAATCTCTGGCCCTTTGTATATCGCACCAACTGAGGCGGTCCAATTTCGTCCCGCCCGGGCGCCATCATCGTGCCCAGGAACCCTTCCGCCCTGGCCAGCACGCATTGCACGTCGACGTCGTCGGCAGGGAGGCCAGCAGACCAGGAAGTTCGATCTGGTGTTCCCTGCGTTCTGCCGTTCTTGACAACGTAGGAAGGTTTGAAGGCTGGTTCGCCTGCCTCTAGGAGGGATGTGATGTCTGCTTCGGAGAGGAAGTTGTGGATGTAGATTACCAAGGGATCGAGGGAGACGATTTGCGTGGTGTAATTTTGGGATTCGCAGATGTAGGGCTCTGCTGTCAAGACTTTGGGTTCAGAAGAGGCATCGTCTATCGATGGGGAGAGGATCTTGTTGAGGGAGGTTTGAAGACGGGAGGGGATGCTGTGTTGTTGGATATAGGGGAGAGAAATTGCTACGAGAGCTGTGTAGGCCGATAGCCCGAGGATCTTTGTGATTGCACTCATGATGTATCACCCATCCGAAGCGCTTCTACACAATCATCAATGGCGACGATGAAGAGACGTCATGGAAGGCCAGGAAACGGGGAGTTTGGGGGTGGCATCTTCATTTAAGAGCGCATCTCAAACCCCGCCCAGGGTTCCATCCTGCATTGGCTTGCTACTCGTGCGTGCTGATCCAGCTCGTCTACTTCGAATCTGTCCCCAACCCGAGATTCCGAATGCGCCTCAGATAGATCAAATGGAGCGTCGTCCTCCGACTGGGCGGAGAAACTCCGCCTTGGCCCGGACCGCATCCCGTCCCCCGCATGTTTGGGGTAGCTGTGCCTTACCGAGCCTCACCTAGATCAATTGGGGTAATAGCTCAAGGTGAGACCTCGGTGAAGGCGGTCACCACGTATAAAATCGTAGAAAACTCGATGTTTAACCGCCTCGGTATTCGACTTCCACACAGCAAAGAAGCTATAAGCAAGTGGTGCGGGAGCCATCACGGCATCTACCGCATCTGCATTTTCAGGAAACATCCAATGTATATAAACACAAAGAAAGAAAGGAATGGGGGGGGGGGGGATACTGACCTTATAATTCACGCCCCTGCCCAGGCTGGAATAACGCGCCCCTCGGTCAACCCGAACTCTGACTTCATGGGAGTATTTGCTTATCTAACCACTCGACTACCTCGCACATCGCTTGACCTGACCTCGCCGACCTAGACGGGCGCTGCTGTGCTGGTGACAGGAACCGACGCTGGGTATGTATACATATGTATCCTTGGGTGCCTAAAGTACGCAGGGCAAGGAAGGAAGGAGGGACGCAGAGGTGGGAAGGAACGAGTCGGGCGTTTCGATAGCCTCCTCAGGCAGGTCCCACCCTGCACCCAACTCACCATCAATCAAACATCAAACAAAGTGGCAAAAGAAACGCCGCCCGGATGAGAGGAACTACTTTGTAGCTCCATAATATACAGATATGTAACGCTTCCCGACCCATAGGCAGCAAACCTTTCTTCAAGATATCCCCCGCTGGGGCACCTACAGCTTCCTAGATGGCAGGACCGCATGTGTATAGCAAGAACCGGCGCAGCAGTTTGCAAAGAAGTCAAAAAACTCACTGTTCGCCTTTTTGCGTAATCGCATCCACTCCGCCCCAGTGTTGTATGAGAATCAGGGGGTATGGCGCAAAGTTTCAGGAAATGCCAAAAACTCCATCGCGGAAAGATCCCTAAAATATGGTACCAAACGCCACGCAAGGAATGCGCTATTAGATCCGCTCCCTGTCGCTCTAGATTTGGCTATGTCGCGCACGCTTGCGAGCGCTTCCTTGAGATGATGATGGGTGCAGCTTGTCGTTCTTTTCTCTCTTGAGCTTGTCGTCGAGGACGCGGGCTATTGGCAGTTAGCATGGTCATTCCTTTCAACGTTTTCGAGAGCCGCCACATACTAAGCACGTCGTATCCGAACTGGGGGTACTCCAAGCACAAAGAGCGGAACTCGTCCTCGGCCTCGGAGCGGAGGGTGTGCGAGCGCATGGCCCAGAACTGTGCGACGGGTGCGCGGATGGTGGTGTCGTCCTTGCCGGTGTAGGCGTAGACGTAGCGCGCGTAGGCAATCTCGCCCTTGGCCGTTGAGTTGACGCAGTGAATCTTGGAGCTGGCGAGCGAGCGGAGGCTGGGAACACCAAATTTCTCAGCCAGGGTGTAGACGCGCGCGTGCTTCAGCAGCTGTGTGCCGTCCGCATCGACTTCGGGAGTCGAGGGATCTTGCTCGAGGGTGCGCGAACCGGCGACCTTGCGGGGGAAGTACTCTCCCGTGTAGAGGAACTCGAGGAAGCATCCGACCGCGTCAAGGTCTTCACCGACGAGCTCAATCTGACGCGGCTGTTGCGCATGAAGTCAGTACCGTCGGGAGAAAAGCAGAATGCGCCGGGTGAGTGGCGCAACCTGGGAGGAACACTTACGCTACCATCATCACTGAACTGGGCGCATGCCTCCTTGAAGAAGGGGCTTTGCACCAGAAGCGCCTGATGAGCCGTGACAATAGCTTCCGACTCGCCCTGACCGACCAAGAGGGTGACAACGGGGCTGGACAGGTAGCTGACAAAGGTGATGCGCGGCTCGACAGGGTCGCTCTCGCCGCCCTCGGCAAAGGGGAGTTCCTCAGCGTTGGCATCGCCCTCCTCGGCCATCTCGACGTCGGCGCTAGGGTTGACGGGGGCGTCCTCGACAATTTCAACGTCGTTGTTGAATTCTTCGGCCATTGCGACGGGTTCGGACGCGATTGCGCAGTCGGGGTCGTGTGTCTGGTTTTATTTGAAGGAGTGATTCGATCAGACTGCGTCGGGCAGCACGGGTTGTCTCGTCGAAAATCGGTCAATTGGTTGCGTAGACGCTTGGAACAGATCGGGCGCGTAAAGAAGGGCGTAAAAGAATGTGGTGAGCGTCAATGTCTAAACTGAATTGGAACCAAATCAACGACAAGCGGGAGATGGGAGCCCGGAGAAAGTCTGTCTAGGTTCCGGGTTGGGGGGGGCGGGGCACGGGCGGAGCTCCGAGCTTCAAGGTAAGGTACCTCAAGGCAAGGCAGGGAACCAAGCTGGCTGCAGCTGCCTCCCCCATGCGCACGGCTCACAATGGTCCATCCGTTCTGCACCCGTTAGAAGCGGGCCGGTGGGGGGTTCCTCTCCGTTTCCACAGGCAACATGCAACTCTGGGCAGGCACACTCCATCCAACCTTACCTACGGAGTACCTAAGGTACCTTACCTACAGACTTCCATTGAGTGTTCCTGCCAAGCGCAACGCGACGCGACAATACCTTAATCGATAAGCTTCCATGGATTTCATTGACATTTATCGATAAGCCACTTTTAGCAGGCGATCCCTTATCATCTATCGAGGTACATGTCATCGCATCTCAAGTACCTCTATCCAGGAAGAAACACAGCTGTTGAGACGAAGATAAGTTCACGTTGTCGCGTGGCATTCAGTGGACAGTATAATTGCCAACAAAAGCCAATTGCCAGGACGCCGATGAAAATCAGACCAGCGCCCAACACCGACGTCTTCTTCAACTCAAGCAAAAAGGAGCCCCAAAAGTGATGCTCAATCGTAAGGGGATGATGTCCCACTCCATTAAGTGTTGTGTGCTTTGCATCATGAAGAGAATCGCTATCAGACGTAATATACCCAGAAGTACACCGTTGCAATGCAATGTGATGATGCGCTCCTGCTCCTTCAAATGCTACAACCATGCTGCAAACACAGTGACCTGTCCCATTACCTTCAGGTCTTCTCATTATGCCCTCCTCATTTCCATTGGTTTTCCTGCCCGGAATGCGCCGACTCCTTAGGCTTCCTGTTCAACGACAAATTCGGGAGGCTGGGATGTATGAGCCTCAATGGCTGTTCCTGCTTCAGGACCTCCCAGTGCTTCTTCAGCGTATCTTCTCTGACCACCAGCTCAAAGTTCGCCAGGAAGCAAAAACTAATCTCCAAGCGCGCCAACTCGACGTCGCTAACGCCTCCAACTTTGGCAATTTTACTGTGCGGATAGCTGAGATCCTCCAATGCCTTCATTGCCACTCGAAGTCCCGCTAGAACCAGTCGATGCGCATTGCGCCGCGTCACAGGTATTGCTCGTTCGTCAACGGCTAAGCGGTGGATATACAGGCTAGTAGCAAGGTACACGGCAGTGCTCATCGGGCACCATTGGTGGATTCGCGCAAGATATTCGTCGATACCAATGGGCGGCGGTTTCTTAGAGTAGAACTTGCGCGTGATTGCGCTATGCTGAAGATTAATCGGCTGCGAGTTCTCTCCAATTATTATATGTGGTTCGGGTGCTTTCGGTGGCGGTGGTGGGGTCGGTGATTGTGTCTGCCGCAGATGGACACCATCTATTAATTGTGGTGTTGAGCTACTCGAGCCGCTCATCTGGGACATCATCGGTGGTCGGCGAGGCGAGGACGCTGAAGCTGCTGCAGCAGCCTCAGCCTCTTTGCGCATGCGAGCCAGGTTTTTCTGTGAGCTTGTGCGAATGAGCTCCTTCTCTGCCGCCATGCCTCTCATATTGGGTAGTGTCGGGCTTGTGGGTGGTGGTGTCGGAGGAATGTCGCCTGTTATCTTCACAAGTGCCTCGATTCCACCACTCAAGAGCTTCATCGCCGCCCTAGGCGATAACTTGAAGACATCGGTGTTTTCGGGGACGTTCGGTGAGCTATCGCAGTCGGCAACGCTCAATCGCGGATCGGAAGAAGGGTTCGGCGGCGGCGGAAGATCGGGGACGGCGCTCGCATTCGAATCTGTCTGCTGCAGAGGCAGGCCCTCCTCTTCAGGCTTTGGAGTCATCCCTGTGGTGTTTTGGTGTTGGTCCTGGGGAACACACCGGGGATGGTTATAAGGCGACAATGACGTCGGGTTGGGGTACGAGAGCAGCGTCTCGGTGTGTTCGGCGTGGGCTACAGCGAGCATCTAACGCTTCGAGAAAACAAACAATCGTAAGCAAAAGCTCCGACGGAGACAGCGTGATGTGTGTACCGTTGAGCTATTTCACACAACTCTCACGGCCCAAGCTACTATCTTTGCACAGTTGCGGTTCCCTCGGCCAGGTTCGGCTTGCGGGTGTCGGAATATGTCGCGGGGAGCCTCTTTCGCAGGTGACTCCCAAATGGTCTGGCCCAAATGGCCTAGTTTCGAGCCGTTCTAAGACAAGCTAACAGATTTGGTCCTTGGAACAAAAGAAGCGACTTGGCGTGGAATCGTGGTTCGACTGGTAAAACGTCGCTCGGTTGCGAAAGACGAAAGTGCGAGCGGAGGGGCAAGCTGATTAAAGGCGTAAGACGATATTTCACCAAGGGTATCTGTCGGTGGTCAAGAGGGGCTCGAAAAGGTCGGTCAATATTAATGCGGTGCGGCTGCACGTCTCGTTTGGGAGTCTTAGAGCAAAGCAAATGGTTCGGCTAGCAGTGTCTCGCTCGGAGCAATATCGTTGGTGGTAGCAGCGGCGGTTCGTGGTGGTGGTCTGGACCGACAAGGTTGGATTACTGGTAGAGGTGCTTGTGACAGAGCACAATCTTTTTTTGCTGATCTCGAAGCTAGTGCGGGGAACTGCAGGCATGCGGCAGGCGAAGGGACTGCAAAAGACACGGCATCCCCGTTGCGGTGGAGGGATCGGCGATCGTCTGAAGTCGAGGACGCTGCAAAGTGCTGTATTGATGGCTAAGCACACTGCAACTGCAGGTAGGTGGCAGACCAGACAAAGATGAGGCCCGGGAGGAGGACGGCTTGGAGCTGCAGGCGAAGCGATGCGCTGAGAACAGATTGGGTGCCACCTGTAAGAAAAGCAAAAGGCTGGGCAGGCCGTATAACAGCAGACTATGGGTGGCGTTTGCCTGATGGGATTTGCAGCTGGCGCGACGTGGGTGCGATGAGGCGGACGTCGCCGGTGCAAAGTGTACGAGCAAGGAAGTGTAGGTAGGTAGCGCCGTGCAGGGAATGGAAAGTCGTATTATTCTCTGCGAAGGCGACCTGACCGGGCACCTGCTTCAACAGGCCGTGTAGTTTGTGTACTCGAGCAGATAGTGGTGGATAGACGGGCTGAATCAACCGGCGGAAGAGATAGTGCAGCAGTTTGGCGGGCAAAAACTTGCAGTATCGGTGGATGACCACCTAGTAAGTCGACAATCACTCCAAGCTGGCTGTGGCTAGCTGGCTTGATGTTGATGGGGCGAGAGGGGAGATATGCAGGAACCACGACAGGAGGTGAGCCGAGGTGGCGAAGAGGGTGGCCAAATATTAAGAAGAATGGGATGATAACGGATGAGCTAGTGCGCTAGCTAGATGGGTATCGAATGTGTATCGATGAAGTTGCTGATCTTGGATCGTCGTGGACGTCGCCGGTTCTGCATCTGCATGTAATGTCGTTGAGAGTGCCGGGTCGGGAGGGGAGACCGGGACATTTTAATGAGCGGTTGAAATTTTGGAGAAATTTCAATGTTCGGAAGGAGGCCGGGATTTTGGGAAGGCGGACGTGGAGGTGGAGGTGGAGGGGTAGGCAGGTTCCACAGGCCGAGGAAGGGACTGACAGACTGTGGAAGTAGGCCGGCAGTGGCCGGGAAGCAGCGCCTTCCTGGTTGCCCGTGTTGCTTCTTTCCCACTCCTTGTTCTTGCCATCCTTCGTGCCTTCCTTGTGTGCTCGTGTGTTATGTTTTCCTTCCTGTTTGGAAGTGATGCTTACACCTTCCCTTCCTTTGTCTACCTTATGGTAAAGGTACTTCAAGGAAGGTAGATGCGTACCCAGTCATCCCTCCCATCCACACATCTCGGGAAGGACCACAGAAACAACACCTGCTGACTTGGACTTGACACATTTCGCTCGCACACTCTTACACACACAAACAATATGGCAGCCGCGACCACCAATTTGGGTTTACATCGCCTCGCATCGGACAGGACGGCTGCAGAAGTAGCTCGGCTCCCGCGGTGACGGTTCAAATTCTCGTGTAATAAGTGAGGGGCTCCCTGGCGACGGGACAAGACTAAGATGCGATTAGGTGCCCGTTAAGGCCCGATAGCAGATGGGTTGCCCTGATATCAACGGAATTTCATTCACCCAAGCACATTGCCCGCGGCTGCCTTGATATGCGGTATTTGATAGGCGTTACAAGTAATGTAGGTAAGGTGTTGGTTGTCTTGCAGGTGGCATCCGCTCGCCCTTTCCTGCCTTGCCCTGCAGTGTTTCCTTCCTCTTTCTCAGTCCTGTCGCAAACCTGGAATGCGCTTCCTCCAAATCCCCTCAGCGGGCACCTTCCATCCATGTGGTGTGGTGGTGAATTTGAGCAGGGGGTTGACAGAGCTAAGAGCAGCACAGACACTTTTCTGGCCTGTGCGGTGCCCCCACTCCCCCCGTTTTATTCTGGAGGCAGGCGCCGATGGTGGCTCAAAGTGGAGTTCTAGGGGTCCCTTTTTTGCTTGTCAAATGACCAGATTTGATGCACGAGCCCCGGATAATTGAGGCAGGCAGCACAGCAGTAGGCAACTTCCAGATCTTCTAGACCTTCTAGGTACCCATACAGAGCGCGATTGGCTGGTGGAGCTTTTCAATAATGTCTTGAATTGCCATTGAAGTATTCTGCATCTTCCCACGACGCTGCAGATTCGATGTGACGGCAAACTGACGATAATGATACGAACATCCAGTGTGTCCTTGTCCAAACGACCCATCGGTGGCAAACACACCCATGGTCTCCGCTAGACACCACACCACTTCATTTCCCCGACTCTGTCGAAGAATATGGCATCAAACTCCCAAGGCATGCGCCGCAAACCCACCCATCCATCCCCAATAACCTAGGATTCTTCCAAGGCCAGTCAGACTCGATGCATATACTACACACCATCCTGACTAGCCATGATTCAGACCGGCTTCTCGGGGAGATCTACCCGCTGGGTTAGGGGAGGTCTCGCTGCCTCTCAGGCTCCCTTGGCTTCATTCACCCCTTACCCGTAGACCATTTCAGCAATGATAACGAACGGCTTTCGCGTTCAACAATACCATCTCAACAACACCGTTTCATTCGTGTGGCTACTTACGTCGGATGCTGGCCAACGAACATGGCCCATCCCAAAGCTAGATGGTAAGCCACTGTCCTTGCAGCAACTCGAGAGTTTGACTTACGCCTCAGGGTCACCCATGCTCGCCCGACGATTCTCTGAGCGCTATCATATCTCAATAACCTTCCAATGTCCGATCACTCTCTATTCTGCCGGGCGAGCCCCGCGACAGTCCATCTACGTCTGAGAAGACAATCGTTAAATCTACCAGGCCACGCTCTACCAGCCCGGAGAAGAAATGCCATCCGCTTATATCGATCCTCTACCTTCGCCGTTCCGCTTTAACCCGTCAACTCGTCAACGCTATATCTAGGAACCCAATGCCACTTTGATATCCAAAACAGCGGGCTGACCGCCTTGCACCGTCTCAATAGCTTTCTTCAGCACACCATCAAGATCCGCCGCGTTGTCTACGCGGGCAGCAAACAAGTCTCCACCAGCTGCCGCCTTGGCGATGCCAGCATAATCGGGTGCCGGGTCGAATGAAATGTTGATCTCTTCGTTGGTCGCCCTGGAGCCCTCACCATCAGGGTGCACCAGAAGAAGTGACCGCCTAGGGGCGTTCCATCCTACCATCACGTTAGCTTTTGATTCCAAATCGCCGGAAGGATTCGTCGACCACTTACCCTTGTTGTTCAAGATAATCGTCAGGATAGGGATATTGTATCGCTTGGCGATCCAGTATACGCTACCCGGCACAGAGAAGAGGAACGTGCCATCACCAACAATTTGCACAACAAACTTGCCCTTGTTGTTGCCACCATTCTCGAAATCGGTTGCCAGCTTGATGCCGAGAGCGCCACCGCCAGACCATCCAAGGCCACCGCCACCGCAGTTGATCCAAGATCCGGGCAATGTGGGCTGAAGATTGTCATGGACGAAAATGGTGTTTGTCACAGCCTCAATGGCCCAGATCGTGTCCTCTGGGCACAGCTTCTTCAGTGACCGGGTAAGGTGGCCAGTGCCGAACTCGCCATCCGCCTTGGGCCGCGCCTTCTCCTCGATCTTGGCAAGGAGTTGCTTGTGAGACTCCTTGACCTTTTCTCCGCGCTCCTTGGCTTCCGCAGACTCCAGTTGGGCAGCGTACTGACCCTTTAGGTGTGCAGTAATCTGCTCAATTGACAACAGGCTGCTCGCTCGGTATCTCGACTGAGCGGCGATGTAGAAGACGGGCATTTGCTGCTTGAGCGGATCGACATCAATATGGAAGATTTTGGCGTCCTTCTTGGGGTGGCACAGGGTGTTGATCCATGGTACATCGCAGTCGAGAACGACAATGACATCGGCAGTGTTTACCGCGTCCTCAATACCAAATCGAAGTCCCAGCCAGCCAGGGTGGTCTGCAGGGAAGCACATGTCGCTACCACCCGTGTCAACAACGCGCAAGCCCTTGACGGTGTTTGCGAGTTCGACGAGAGCGCCAGGGAATTGGTGGTCTCTGCCGCCGAATCCAGTGACAATCAGGGGCTCCTTTGCACCAGCCAATGCCTCGGCAATCTTGTTGACGGCGTTTTTGGGAAGCCCTCCGAGCTCAACGGGATCCCAATCCTCTTGACGAATGCTGTACGGTTCGACCTCGGCCTCCATCACCTCTCTAGCGCCGCAAAGATATACGGGCCCTTGCGGGTCCGACTTGGAGAACTGAAGGGCGCGGTTGACCATTTGCTTGACATTGGTTGCTGTCTTGAGCTCGCCAGAGTACCGGCAGTATTGCGAAACGATTTGCTTTTGATCGGGAACATCCTGAATCCAGTGAATGTACTCTGTTCTGCTGCCCCTCATCTCGCCTTCGATGGTGAAGGGAGACAGACCGGCAAACACCAAAACCGGTGCGCGGCCGCATGATGAGTTGTGGACAGCAGCGCCGAGACCTTGCGTTCCCACATCGACGTGGACAATAACACATTGCGGTTTTCCGGTCAGGCGGGCGTAGCCATCAGCCATGGACATGGCAACCATCTGGATACCTCGTTAGCAAATGCCCAATTGGACGCACTCGGAAAGACGGAATTCCATTACTTCGTTGGGACATGTGATGATTCTGGGAAAGTTTCCCTTTCGCTCCCTCTGACCCTTGACCATGGCTTCAATGATACTGGGGTGGTCAGAGCCCAGGTTCACGAAGCAGTGGGTAACGCCGGCGTCCCATAGCGCCTCGAAGAAGGCGAAAGACGCGGTATACATCTCGGTTGATTTCGAGGAAAGGTTCCGGGCTTGTTCGATGGTGGCCTTGAACTCGTCCTCGACGAGAGGCCGAGAGGTGGTGGGCTTTATACCAGCACCCACATGGGAGGATGATGGTGATGTTGATCCCCCACTTCGATGCAGTGGGGCAGCGGATGAGAAACCGGCAAGTTGACGAGCAGGGCCGCCGACAACGGCTATGCTGGGCGCCAATGTCTGCTTGAAGCGGACTAATTTCCCTGGCCGCCCTCCTGCAGGGCCGAAGCTGCGCAAGCAACGTGCCATTGGCACCGGCAATTGTCTGAAAGGCATGGTGAAGAACGGCAATAACAGGCCAACTAGCCGGCCAGCAGTGTATATTGGAGGGGGGCGGGGTATCAACAAGTGAGATGGATGTGTGTGTGTGAGTGTGTGTGATTGACCACTTCACAGTGTTATCAAACACCTCTGAGGGGGGGAAGAGTCTCGCTTGGCAACTGCGTCAGTACTGAACAGTCTACCCGTGGTAGTAAGAGTCGAGCTTGTGTGGCACACGTCAAGCAAGCTGTGGATGAACGACTCGAACGATCACCGGGGTACGGGATACGGGGTTTGACCGATGACGCGCCGCTGCGGAGAGGTTGCACAATTCTGGGGACTGCGTATAGGCTTCGTCCTCTGAGCTGAAGCCTGATGGAGTAGTTTGACTGAAGTCAGTCGGGACTGGGTTTCCGGTGACTGGCGACAAAGACGAGTTTATACGCCTGCAACTGGGATCATTCCACAGACCGACGGCCGGCCCAAGCTTGTTCCCCAGAAAAGGGAGCATCACGCCCTTGCGGCCCCCTTGGGCTAACCCCGCAATCGGCTCAGGGCCTGGTTTCATAGGGCGCTTGTTGTCGGCTCACTGCAGGGTGTCCAACACCACTTGTCACTACCTAGGCGACACAGGACAGGCTATCTCCATAGCCGCTCGTTGCTTTACAGTAGTCCCGAGAGAAGGGAGCACAAGGCGCTGTGGAGGGGCATGCCTATACAAGGGTTAAGGAGCACCTTACGGTAGAAGCGACATACCGATAAGAGAGACAGCCGTTGAGATGACATGGCAGCAGGCAAGCTTCATCCCTGACTGCCACCGTTCATTAGATGAGCTTGATGATACGGTATGGTCTTTTACCGTTCTGGTCCTTCTGTTATCAAGACAAATCTCAAAGTTAAAGAGCCCCAGCTTCCCCCCCTTAAGGTAGGTACTTATGTGTCAAATACCGCTCTGGGCCGAGAATTACCGCTTCTCAGCCCCCCGAACAAGACGTTTTGAGGTAAACAAATGGGCTAGGAATCCCGATGGTCGAGTCCCGTCTCACAGAGAGTTCCCCGCAGCAAAGCGTGCGTCCGGGTGTCCCCCCCTGGAGCACCCAGCTGATGCGTCGAGCTTGTGCGGGGTGCAGGCGGTGTTATCTGGTGGCTTTTATTATTAGCTAAGAGGATCCGCTCGGCCTTTGAGCTTCGATGCAGAGAAGCCAGAAGCCGAAGCTATCGAAAGGAGGGCACGAAGTAGGCAAATTCTGGCTCAATTGAACGTATGTCTGGCATTATTTTACTATCATTTTCATCTTCAAGTCATTAATCCATGACTAAGTAGGCCAAGTCACGTTTATCTATATTTCATACATGTACAACCGCCACCTCTATCCATCTTGCCTCAATGCATCCGGCCAGATCCATCCAAGCACGGAACCAACGCCAAACGCAACAAGGCACGTCAAAATTATCGTCGCCATGAGGCCCGTATAGCTTGTCTTGTTCGGCACCGCCACCGGAGGTTTAGCCCTCCTCCTCCCCGCCGAAGCCTGTCTCGTCGAAGTCGGCTTTGCCGTCAAAAGACTCTCCCACGAGTACACGGTCGCCGCCGTCGGCGTGCCATATAATGTCGTCTCTTGCTTATCCATCGTCTGATACCCATACCCTGTAGTACTAGGCACCGCGCTCGGCGTGCTCGTCGTCACGGCCGTCGATTCGCCGGACCAATCGTGCCCGTCAAAGGCTTTATACCACGACCACTGCGAGTCGGGGTCGTTCCAGTCCGCGAGAATGCCAGGGCACTCGTTGAGGCAGTTGAAGAGCCCCGCGCCCGTGCCTTGCTTCTTGTTGCCGTGCTCGTCTGCGAATTCGAGGCCGCAGGTGCGGTAGCAGCCGTACGAGGAGCAGGGGAGGGAGTGCCACGGCTTCAGCCAGCCTCCGTAGGATTCCCATGCGGTCCAGTCTTTGATGTCTGTGTTTGTGAGGGTGAAATCCGGGGAGGATTCGACGCCGTAGTAGTTTGTTTGAATTTTGGAGCCGTTGAAGGCCATGGCTGTGATTTTATAGGCTTCGGAGGGGCCGAGGTTTTTGGGGATTGTGATTTTAGGGTTGGTTGTGCCCATTGGGATGAAGTCGCTCAGGTAGCCTGTCATTCGGCCGGTTGTCAGTGATGCTCTTTCTCGGTATTGCGCAAGGATAACGAGGTGGGGAGAAGGGGGCTCTTACAGGTGTACATCCATTCTTCGGTGTGCAAGAATAACTGGTAGTGCTCATACAGCATGTCGTGTCCGCAGCCAACATCCTCGTCTACGGGATTGCGGCATACCGCCACGATGTCGTCAAAGACTGGCCCGGGGAGGGTCTCGTAGACGAACGGCTGTTTCCAGTAGTCGAAGCCGATTTCGATTTCTGTCTCGACGCCTGCTTTGATTTCGGAGGGGACGGTGACGTTCAAGGCGTGCGCTGCTGTAAGTAGCGTCGTGAAGAGCGTGAGGAGGGTGTTCGGGGGAGCCATGGCTGAGGTGCGGTGGTGGCGATAAGTTATCGCGATCGCGATTGCGGGGGTTGGCTGCGAACGCCGGTGATATTCACGCGCACGGCGTGTTGAGCGAGTGGACGGGAGGCGAGCGCTCCCTTGTTGCTGGCGACGGCAGCGAGTGCGGTTGCGGATGACGGAGGAAAGAGGCCATCGCGAAGAAAACTTGGTGGACGGCCATCTGTGTCGATGCGAAGGATCGGGATGCTGGACAGGGGGCGATGGGATTTGCTTGGCTCCTTCCTGCTTGGTCTGCGCTAAAAAATAAGCCTAAGTACTTTGTTCCCTGGTGGAGTCACCGGAGTCGCCCGGGGTCCGGCCCGAAAGTGGGTCTACATATCGGCATCTTGGCTGCGTAAGACCGGGATGAATTTGCGGTGCTGGGTCCTTGCAGCTTTGGACACTGCTCGCTGACCATTGACGAACTTTTGATTGGAGTCGTCATTTGGTGTAAGCTTCGTATCATGCGATGAGAAGGTAAAACATCGGACGACAGCGCTCCATAGAATGAGTTGAGGGGCACATCATCTTCAATGTAGTTCTCCTAGGACTAATAGACTATCGATGCGCTCGTCCTTGAGCATTGCAACCCTCGGGACATAGTACCCGGCAAGTAATTCAGTTTCTGACAGGATGTTGCGTCGGATTATGACCATCAGAGCCAGGAAAACCGGACCTCTAGTACTCGGAGATCTGCTTCAATACCACCCCGCTCGCATCGGACTGCCGCATGATGCTTGGAGCTCGAGTCCTTTACCGTGAGCTCCAACCTGGAGCTCCGCATGACCAGGTCTTCGAAATCAGATGAACGCTGTTTGAAATACTTAAGCTGCCCCTCCCTCTGAGATCATAGTCCGAGAGAAAACCACCCCTTCCTGATCGATACTCTTTTACTGCACGCCAAAGGTAATTTTGAAAAGAACCAAATACTGGAACTTTGGTACCAAAGCCTACTATAAACCACACTTGCGGCCAATTTTGAACAACATGTCCATGAACATAGCCTCCCCTTTCTCTCCTTACCCGAGTTACGTCCTCGGCACAGGCCTCACCTTCATAGGCCTCCTGGGCTTTGTCCGGCCCTTAGCAATCTACGACGCCTTCGGCATCGCCCGACCCCTGTCCGCAGAACCAGAGGCTTTTAGCTACGCCAAATCCGCGCGCGATCTAGCTACGGGGTTGCTGTTCCTCGGGCTCGAGACATATCAGGAGGGAAGCGGGAATGAAGACGCGGTGACTGCGTTGTTGGCTATTACTTCGTTTGTTGGAGTCATGGATTGGTGGATTGTTAGGACTATGGGTGGAAAGGGGGGAAGAGGAGACGGGGGAAAGGCGTTGACGCATTTGGGGAGTGGGGTTGTGCTTGGAAGCTTCGCTATTTGGAGGTGGATGTATTAAGGTAGTCATGGACGAGTCATCATTATATTGCGTCCTTCTATGATGGGGCTTGGTGCCGAGTGCAACATAGGTGGCAAAATATGTGATAATCAGTGCAACCTAATGGTCAGGATAAACCTGCTTTAGTGACATGTTTTTGGCTTCGTCTTGACTAAGTGTTCATTCTCTGCTCTAGAGTTTATCTTATGCTCTTACATGCCTGAGCCTCAAGCCTTATTCTTGTCAACGATGATCTTGGGAGAGACCCTGATTTGCCAGTCGCTAACGTTGTGGTAATCACCATACGTCCGGAGCGCTCTCGACAGGATCTTGTACTCGCCGCTCTCGATCGCACTGCCGTGCGAGAAGTTGCCGCTCGGCCACCACGTACTCGACGGCAGACGCGGGTACTGTTGGACGGGAGCATCAAAGTAGGCGTCCGAGATGAGGTTGTAATGCTGAAGGGAGCCAATGTATTTGTTCTGGCCTGGGACGAAGGGATACGACCAGTCTGTGGGCTCCCAGGAGGGGTCGACGAGCTTGAAAGGGTTAGCTGCTTCCAGATGAAGCATTGGGATGTGATGCGGGAAACGGGAGTACATACATCGAAGCTGAACTCGCGAGTAGGCCAGAGAATATCAAAGTCAATAGTAAAGGTGTCTTCGATGATCATCTTGAAGGTGTCATTCTCTTGAATTAGCACAAAGTCGGGGGTTTGAATGACAGGGTCAATCCATCCGTCGGCCCAGATGTTGCTATCGTAGACGCTTCCCTTGATACCTGTGGAAGGTCAGTGAGTTCTTACGCCGTCCTTGAGCTGGCATCATCTACTTACCAGCGTAGGCCACCCGCAGAGACTCGTCGTTAGAGCCAATAATATTGATATATCCGCCATAGATCGGGAAAAGCTTCGCATCGATACCGGCAGGTTCGATGAAAGTCACCGTCAAAACTCCAGTCGTACCAGGAGCTATATCAAGTGCAATCGCCGAGAACTTCACCGTGGCCAGTTCGCCCTCGTTGGAGGAGTACGGCACCGGAGGGAACGCGACCACGGGATCGGAAGCGGGCTTAGTGGAGATGGTGGAACCGGCTTCGTGAATAATGTTGTATGTCACTGTCTCATTTCCTCTGTTCTCAATCTTGATTTCGTGCGTGCCTTGGAAGTGGTCGGTGTCGTTGAGGTTGATGACGGCGGGGGTGATGGATGTCTTGTAGGTTATGACCTTGAAGGCGTCGACGATGCCGGCATCTTGCATGGGAATGGGGCTTATAGCTTGTCAGATTGTTATGTATTTGGACATTGAGGAACAAACGTACGCTAAAGAGCCGCTTCCATCATGGTGAGCGACGGGCTTGCCACTGGAGGTGATAAGGTGGTGAGCCGAGTCGCCGGCATTATTGGCGATGTTGGAGCGGCCGCCATTCGCTGAGAAGTAGAGAGCGGCGACGCCGGCAATCTATGAGTCGGATCAGAACGAGTTGAGGAAGCTTCCAAACAGCAACTTACGTATGGAGTGGCCATGCTGGTCCCAGAGAGAACAGCCCACCCTCCCTCGGATGTCAAATATGTGGAGAGAATGGAACCGCCTGGTATATGGAGTTAGTCAAAGACGAGTTGTTTAAATGTCTGGACTTTGGGACGAGAAAAACTTACCAGGAGCTGAGATCTCGGGCTTCAGGCGGCCGTCAACTGTCAAGCCCCAGGACGAAAAGTAGTCAATGGCACCGGCGATGGACTCGGAGTTGGCGCCGGGAATGCCGACTGCCTTGCCACCGTTGGCTACAAACTCAAAGTCCACCTTGCGACCCCGTTCATTTTGCTGAACAAGCCACTTGCCATCCTCTTGACTGATGAGCCCAACTGATTCTCAATGTAAGTACGTCATGATCGTATTGCAAGGCAGGCTATGATAGGTCATGGCAGTGACTTACATCCGAGGGGTTGCTCTTCAGGGTTGTAGACGCTTCGGTTGGGAATTTCCCACGCAGCATCCTCAAAGTTGTAGTAGAATACCCACTTCACACTCGTTCCAAAGAGGTTCGAGTCGAGGACTTGCCAGCATTCACAGATGCAGGTGCTTCGGCTGTACGTGTAATTATCAGCTACAGACGTGTTTCCTTCTTGCAACGTGGCAATACTAACGGCAGAATGAGAACACTTTCTGACGAAACATCGGGGAACTCCCAGATATCGCACGAGTCAAGTCCGGTGTAATTCTGGTTGAGAAAGTGGGCGGGTGCTGTGCCGTTGAGCGTCCATTGCGCAGTGTCGGAACTGACATAGAGCTGCGATATTGTTAGTAGAACCAACGGCTTTGATGAGTCCAACTTACGATCTCGCGTGTCTCATTGTTGCTCGATCTGGCAACTACCGTGAAGGCAGCCGTCTGGGTATGTTCGACGCTGCCCACGGCCGTAACACCGAAGCCATTCGCGGCGCTACTAGTGTAGAAGGGCCCTTCATCACAAGTCAGTCTAGTATGAATCATAAGAGAGAAGATGCAGCATACCCATCTCACCACTGTTACCAGCGGCAACCGTAACAAAAGTTCCCTTGGCTTGAATGTTGGAGGCAACTACAGCAAGGATGTTCTCGGGGAAGCCAGCATTCGATCCCAGAGAGGCGGATATGATATCGGCGCCCTCCTCGTAGGCCTGAATGAAGCCCTGGGCGATTACGTCCTCCATACTACTACCACCGCATCCAAAGACCTTGTAGATCCTTAAGCGGGCATCGGGTGCGACGCCAGGCAAGTCCTCATGAGAGCTCGCAACAATGCCGGCAACGTGGGTTCCGTGGCCGGCGCAGTCCATGGGATCAGCATCCGGCACATACTCGCTCCCGATCTCATAGTTGTCACCAACGAGGTCATACCCGCCTTCGACCTTGAAACCCGCACCGAATCCACCACCGAGGTTTGGATGGAGATAGTCGATTCCGGTGTCAACAATAGCGACAACAACACCCTCGCCGCGATGACCGGGTTTGTGGACCTTGTCAACGTTGGTGAGCGTGTGAGGGTTCCATTTTGGAAGCGGCTCGGACATGATGTCGGAGGCATTGGGCTTCACCGCCGACACGACTGAGACAGGCCATAACTTCTCAACCTCAGGAAGAGTCTCAATCTGCTGTAGGGAGCTGGCAGTGTGGTTGAGGAGGTCAAATGAGGCGCCATGAAAGATGTCGGAGGTGAAGTTTAGAGCTGGTTTGGCCGTGTTGTTGGTGAGTTGAAGGCTCTGAAAGAAGCCTTCCGTGTCCTTTGTGTCTGTTAGCCGGGAGAATGGTAGGGGAGGGCAGGAGTGTAACTTACTGGGCTTCCATCTCGCTTTCTGAACTTGGCTGAGCCAGAGGGGGAAAATTGAACAGCGAACCGTCGAGCGGGTGGTGAAAATGGCTTCTTGTCACCCAGAGCCGCGGCGGGAACATCCGCGGAAAGGACCGAGGTGCTCAAAAGGAGGGAAACCAAGAGAGATCCGAATGTGCCGAACGCCATTTTGACTTCAATCAAGAAGCTACCTAGATTGATAGTTGAACGGTTGAGAACGTGGAATTCTTCTCTCCTTGGACCATGGAATAGCGTTTTAATGTGTGCTGACTGCCGAATGACATGAACTTCGGCCGGCGGTCTGCCAGCTGCTCGATGATTAGATGCGCAATACGAACTCGCAAACCCAAAGAGGGCCCCATTTCTGCAAGTTTAGATAGCCAGTCTCCGGAATGAAGAGCTTTGCAGTGTGAATGGTGTTATCTTGGCCTCCAATGTAACCCTCTATTGGGAAGGTCATGTCGTCCGGCGGGATGTCGGGTCTTGGCAGGCACGCGCTGCTCTCGCTCAAAACATGCGGTTAAAGGATTGCAAGACCGATCGCGGACATGGATTTGAGTAATATCTGGATCCTTGACTTGGCGCCAGACGTAGCAGGTAGAGTCTCACTATGGCAAGAACAACAAACAAGGATTTGATTTCTGCTCCGCGTTGATCAGATGATCTGATAAGATGCATTCGACCTGTAATATTGTCGCCCAGTTTTCCAGGGCCCACTTTAGGAACTAGAACAAGGTTAATATTACTCAAATCCGCGCGAATTGCGCACCGAGGTCGCAGAGTGTTGCGGATACGGACCCAGCGAAGCTCATGTTGGCGACCGGGATCACCGGCCGGGGAGGGCATATGGCGGGGGAGAACCGACTACCAATACGATGACCTCTTGTCGGTGACCCATCAACACTATAGATTAGCTCATGTCCGAGCAATAGCGACTGCACGTCGGCGTTGTTCAGTCGCTGTCCGACAGCTCGGTACGTAATCGTTTGTCCACGTTTTCTTCAGAATTGACGTTACTTGGAAATTTCTCCGGTTTCAACCGTTTAACCAAGATTGTCTGAGAGCTTATTTACCAGAATACTTGGCCGCTCTGAAGCACATGTGTCGGTGAGGCTTAGATCGGATCATAGACGGGACAGGCATAACAATAATGAGCTTCCCCTCAGTTGATACCAATTGTTAGAGGTGAGCTGAAAAGTTGTAAAGTCATCTCCAGCAATGCAATGCTCAAATTTGGTTGACTTGCTTCCAACGCTCTGCGATTATGATCCCCAGTCTTTCGAACTTCTTTGTTCTCCCGTTGTTTGAAACCCTGCCGCGGGCCCCATTGGGGCAAAAGACATTCTATTACTTGTTTTCCGTATCTCTGAAGAATCATGGCTTTGTTACACTACATCTGACCTCCAACTTCGTTGACAAACGGCGCTTTCATCAGCTATTTTGGTAATACTCAAGCCATTGACATCGTTGAACGACTACAACGTGATTGTTCAGAGGCTTCCTTTGCTGTGAATGACATTAAAACTATTGTATCGATGACTATCTGGCTTTAGATATGTTATTTAACAGTCCGTCGCAACCGAGTGTTTGCAATCACCTACAATCATCAACAGCCTGACCATTGACGACATTACCAACATATTTTCAGCCCCTCACGTGCAACTCTAGCCCATATCTGGTTTACAAGAATACCTTTTTGACTGCTACAACTTTTGAATATCCTTATTCTGCGAGACCGGATCTCTTCTCCAACATCTCATTTCTATAGCTCGCGTGCCTTACTTGTAACATCGCTTGTCGACAATGGCCACGCCTACTTACGACTCGGCTGACATTCTTTGCTGGATGAGGGGTGTGTCTGGAATTTTGGAGGACACAAGCTCACCCGAAGGAGAGGTCCCAATTTCTCCTGAGATCAACCAAACTCAAGTAGCCTCTTCTGATACCGCTTACATCGCTGACCGACCTGCTTCTGGAAGTGGATCACTGGCAAGCGACTCTGGAGAGACACCAGCTCTGACGACAAACTCGACATGTACCAAACGCTCCTCACGGTCTGAAGAGGGAATTGAAAATGAAAGCGTTAAGAGACGTAGGTGCAGCTACGTACAGTCGCCTGCGTTTATACAAAGCCCATGGGAATCTGCGACCGGTTGCCATATGTACTACCAAAATAGTTGTCGCCCAAAGAAGCTGCAAACTGTCACATCGTCATACTGGCCAAATATTCGCGACGACTATGCCAGATCACTTCAAGACCCGAGCATCAAATGTTGCATTCCTTGTTCCATCTGTCAGGAGGATTGCGCAGACGAAAGTACGTCTTGGAAAGTTGGATGTGAACTGCCCGTTATCCTTGCCTGTGGCCACATGATTGGGGAAGACTGCCTCAAATCATGGTTCAGATCTCGGGCAAAATCGGATGAGCCAAAGGACTGCCCAGTGTGCAGAAGATTGCTCCAATGCTCCGAATGCAAGGGAGCCTTCATGTTCTCGATCATTTGTCGCGACTCTTACGTCCCGAATCTGATGACCAAAACCTACAGCGAGCAGCCCATGGGGCAGACCATTTGCAACGATTGCCAGGCCGAGACTGATTTTGGAAATCGAATTCTCCAAGGCGAGCACATTGCCGAGCCATTTCCCCGCGGCGGCGCTCCTCAACACATGATAGATTGGTTCCGTCAAGTAAGGAATGAGTTTGAAACCAAAGCGAAGTTGAGCTTGGGTGACGGAATGAGACCGATTGACGTCTCCGGCATGGTTCACAAAGAGATTTTTGCCGAGATGGAATCATGGCTGTATTTTCTAAAGGAGGACGTGGCTCACAGAGCACAGGCAAGTATCGCTAAGATTGAGACAGAGCTAGATGAAACTCACTGGTGGAATCGCGCTGGAATGGACGAAGAAGAAGAGTACGGCATCACTCCAGGCTATGGTAATCACTCGGATGAGGACGAGGATCAAGGCGAGGACGGCATGAGTTACGAGGGCTTTGATGGCCGCTGGCATGGCGATGGGACTCAGGCTGAGGAATGGGGTTATGACGCCGCTAATTATACCTGGTGAGATTGACTGAGATCAACTGGGTTGTAGATAATACTTCCTAGGAGCTAGAGCGTTCATGTTGTTATTTTGGAAAGATCTGATCGATGTAATATGACTTTGATATGTTGTGGTCAAGAATGTGAGGGGTTGGCACAGGCTCGTAGCTGTAGTAATTGTGACAAAAGTCTACTTCATCTATCCGTTGGTTGTATCCCGATCTCCGTCTGTTCCGGACGTGCAGTTGATCTGCAGCAAGCCTTTGTCCAGGTTTTTGCATTCGTACACAGGCGGCTTCCCGCTCGGCACCGTGACTGTGACGTTCTCGGCGCGGATGTTGCTGCAACGCTATCTCATGAAACTAAGTCAATTTTGTGTCCGGAAAACCCACACTCTCTAACAACGCCGGGGTAAAAAGGGCTTACGTCTGCGGCACTGCAAACAAGGCTTCCGGTTTGCGGGTCTAGCTTGGTTGAGACCACACCATAGATGTTCTTGAGAGTGATATCGGAAATCGTAAGGTTGGCCTGGAATCACCATGATCAGCACTTAATTGTGAAATGAGACCCGAGAGAAGTAGTGGACCTACTGGGAACTCTTCACAGAGCGTCTGGTTCTTTTGGCCGTAACATTGTGTGATGGTGATGGCCCGATCATTATTGATGTTCTTGAAGAGGTCATACGTGACGTTTCTCACACGTCCGAGGCCACCTCCACCATTCAGGAGTGTCTGGAAAGCAGTCTCAATGCCAGGCCAAACTTTGATGCGAGCGGCATCGCTAGCGTTGGCCATGGTTGTGTTGTAGATGTAAAGGTTCTCGACGATGTCGGTCTCGCCCTTGTACTGGCCCAGGGAGCCAACACTCATGCCGTGTGAGCCAGTGCAGTCCAGGTTCTGGACGACAACGTTGGTGCTGTTTGGTTTGAATGACACACAGTCTGCACAAGCCATCGAGATCAGTTTACGAAACATCAACAGGAGTTTCGATGTTCAGGCTGCAAGCAACCAGACTACCCGTTGCCGAACTCACCATCTGTGTTGATAATGACTGAGTTCTGAATCACAATGCGATCAGATCGATATGTATCCCAACCATCGGAGTTGGCAATCTTAACACCATTTTGGCTCTGGTTCATCTGTGTCAGCACAGTATTTGCACCGCCCTGATCTGGGTGTGAACCAACGAATTGACGTACCTGGGCCTTGAGATCCATGTCGCTGATGATGACATCGGTGCTGTTTGCGATCAAGTTGAACCACTGAAGTCGTTAGCTAGGGGCAATCTCGTTTAGTTAGCCATAATTAACCCACGTTAGGAGGATTGCGCATGCGAAGGTGTGACATTGTCACTCCCTTAGCTCCGTCGAAAGAGAACAACATGGGTCTCAAGAGCTGTTGTGATACATGTCAGTGTATACCCGGGAAGTTTTTATGTCCCAGTAAACTCACACTACTATTGGTCTGAATGGCCTCCCAGTATGCCTGACCGCGACCATCAATGACAGATTTGTCGTTCCCAAGATCACCATAGATGTTGATATCCTCGCCGCCAAACTTCCAAAAGACCGACTGGTTCTGGAAAGCGAACTTGAAACTGTTGTCGGCCCAGTAGAGGGGGTCATCATTGAACTGGATGTCGCCGGTGATTACTACGTCAATGTGCTTCAAGAAGGTGAGGTCCAACGGCGAGCTGATGAGGTAGGTCTTGTCGAACACCACCGTACCGCCGTCGTTGCATTCCTTGAAGGCTTTGAGGATCTTCGGCGCGTCGTCCTTGCCCTCGGTGCAGCTCGGCTTAACATAACAATAGCGGTCTTTGTCTCTGGGAGGCGAAAACGGCATAGCCTTTCCGGTGTTGAACGGAGCGGGCTCGACCTTAGGGCGCTTAGGAAGCTCATCTTGGGCGGAAGCAATTGACAACAGGCCAAGGGCGGCGGCCCATAGAGTCGAGGAGGTGAACCGCATCTTGACAAAGTTGCACGCACACGGGAATGACAGAGTGGTGTTGGGGACGTGAAAGCACCACTACTTGAGTCCTAATTCCCGAACCATCCGTACTCAAATACCAAAAATCCCAAGAGCTTAAGTTTAATGAAATATCACCGGCGGCGGATCATATCACTATAATTCCCAGATTGAATGCAACAATACGTGGAAGATTTGTGGGGTTCATGTAAGGTCCCTCGGCCGGTCGGTGGAAGATTTCGCGGACCGGGGTGCGCGCAAAGACGCTGAGTCTTCCCCAAAGAGCGTTCCCTTCAACCTAACGAACCCCTTGCGACTGAATCCTTCCTGAGCTTCTCCGAATATCGTACCCGTTTGTGGGCGCGGGGTAAAGAAACATGCGGAGAAATTGTCAGGGACAACTTGGCGAGACAATTAGCGAGCCGGTGGGTGTAATTTGCTTCGCGTTTCCGGCCTTGGCGTTGACACAATATTCGATAACAGGTAGAAGATGTTCTTGAAGCACTGGGCTCTAGAAATCCTCATCCTCTGGAATTCTGGGGACGGTTGCTTGGCATCAATCCATCTGCTCGTAGACTATGCGATGACATCCTGTCCTCGTAGAAGTACGGCGCCGTTCGGGCTGTAGGTGGTGATGACATGGAGCGACGGCAGTCGAGGCGCCCAGCGGCAGATCGAAGTAATCGAGGTCATTTCATTGACGGTATGATCCACGTTGATTGTATCCTGAGCAAGTCGAAACAACAAAGATGTCGAGACTGTCATGATTGGGGCCATCGTTCTGCTTCATCGTCTAAAGAGTATGCGTAAGCGAGTTGAGCTTTTAAACCTAGTCAGCAACGAAAAAAATACCAAGGCAAGCTTGATTTATTTAGGGGTTTGGGAATTGAACTGACTATCAAGACGTCATACAAATGGAAGCCGCTGCTAGCGGAGGGGTATCAAATGTTGCATGTGTAAAAGCCAACCAGTCGTCCTTAATCATATCCCTGATGTCCTCCCTCTATCCCCAAAATCTGATTACATTATGACATTCTCGCAAATTACTTCTCCCCGCGCTTTAGATGTTTAATAGCCTCTTCCGTGGGTGTGAGTATGTTGGAGTAACAAAAAGACATGTTTTAGGATCCGCATGATGGCGGCGTCAATGGTAGGCCGCATCCGAGACCAGATTTTGATCAGATTCAAGGAAACCGTGTCCGATACCGCTGAGGCGGCGGGGGTTGCTGACGGCGAGCTGGTCCATTGAACTTGATTTTCCATGCGTCGTAACGATTAATGTGGAAAGGTAGGGGCGGTGGTTCTTGTGGCATTGGAACGTATTGCATTCGTCGGCCCCGGGTCGGGTGGACCTGCGGAGGTATCCTCGGTGTCCTGGGCCCACGGGACCCGGTAACCCCGCTGTCGGATGAAGAGTCGTAGTCGTAAAAGGAGTCCCAGTCCGGTGGTGGTCCTGGTCTTCTCTTATTCTGAGAAATGCAGAACCAAGCGATGAGAACAATGGCGACGAAGGCTACAATACCACCCAGGATCCCCCCTATCTGTGCGCTTGATAGGGATCCGCTGGACCGGTCCGGAGGTGGTGGGTCCGCGGTCGGAGCAGCGGCCGGGGGCGGATCAGCCGGGTTGCCATCGGAGTATGATGTTGGTGGCCCGCTCCCTAGTGTAACGTATGTGACGAAAGTTGAGCTTGGTCGATAGATCGTCTGAGTTATGACATGAAAGCCTGTCTCTTCCTGTCGGGCAGCAACGGGAAGAGGGGTTTCGCGGGGTTGTAGCGAGATCGGAGTGGGAGAGGTACGCATTGCTGACAGGATCTCATCAGGTTGGTTGGTAAGTGATTTATCCGTTATATCCAGCCAAGACGAGAAGACCTCACCGGCTACAGGTAATATGGTATCAACAAATGACTTGGATAGTGTGGTAAACAATGAATGACTTGGATGAATGTCAAGAGACCGAAGAAGCCACAGTACGAAAGAAGAAGGAAAGAAAGTGCAAGACGTGTCGCTCTTATCCAAGAATCTAGAAGCAGGCTGTGGTGCGCAGTGAAATGTGCGTACCAACTTACAATTTCTCACGGGTGCCAAGTAGCATCCAGCGCATACTTCCATCGCAAGGCCAAGACTAGGCATAAACGCGATTCCTACGAACGAGCTGCAGCGCCACAGGCAACACCACGCCCTCAAAGACACATCGGATAAGACACTCAGGACGCGACTAACCTTGTTTTGACACCTCTCTGCCCAGACTTGTCGATGTCGTACGGCTGCGCCTGACACATCCAAAGACCTGCAAGCAGGTTGCAAGCCATTGAGGCTGGCCAGTGAGGACCGACAGCGTGGTGCCATGAACATGCAAAACGCGCACATGATTCTGCCAGTCAACACTTGCGATAACTGGGGATGAGAGGCCAGATCCACCAATAGGCTGAGTTGGTCGGGCTGAGGTGCAGGAGTTTTGATCAACCGAACCAATGTCGTTGAGTTGCGGACAGCCATTAGCAAGTACCGCACAGTCAGACATCGTATACACACCCACACGGGGGCTGGCCCGTCGAGATGGATCGGTGTGGGCAAGACCCTTGACTGGAGTGCTCATGTGGTTAGTTCGAGTGAGACACGGTGTATATCAACTACAGCGGCATTTTAGTTGCCGGACCTTCTTCGCGTGTGCGAATTTGGCCCCCAATTCTCAACCTTGACTAACAACCTACGCAGGCACTAACGCAGTCATTGCATCGGCCAACTTGGACAAGAGTCCGTCATCACTCTCACAAAGATAAGACCGGAAGGACACGGCAATTATTTGAACAAATCCCGACGAAGTTAATTGCTACCTCAACGGGTGACGCGATGCCGGACATCATCGCTACTATTTCCAGGTGTCGTCACGTCCTTGATCGTGCTCGATCTATCCTTTGCACCCGCGAACTCAAGGCGTCATTTTTTGAATCTCTTTTTATGTCCCCCCAAGTTACACCACGCCTGGAAAATATTACATGCCCCCAAAAGTACACGAACGAAAATAAGTGAGAAAATCATCATGCCAAAGTGCCAGAAAGCGCGTGCGCGCGCGGATTGCCGGTTTTATAAGTCCGCAGAAATTCATTGAAAGACTGAAGAACAGAATTGCGTTCGATCAACGGGGGCCAGGCGAGCGAACTTCAACTTCTCTGACAGAGTATCAATGGCAGTATCTGAAAAGGGGGTTGAGTCAGCTATTCGTTCTGCTTTCGTCTTATCAGAGAGAATTCATCAAACTTACTTTTGCTTCGATCGGACTTTAGCAAGATTACGTGACGGCTCTCCTCCCCTCGCGGAAAGCAAAACAAAACATTCATTCCACCTATTTCCTCCTCTCAGCTTTACCGGCACGGTTTGGTTGAGCAGCAGCGGTAGGGTTGTTGTCAACGATGATGCCGACGCCGGCACCGCCCTCGCCGTTTCCGAGCTGGATCTTGGGACCCTTTGTGAGCGCGGCCTCGGCAAACGTGAGGGCACGATCGAAGCCGCTCTGGCGCTTCTCCACCCTCTTTGTAATATCTCGACCTGCAACGATTCCTTGTTGAGCGGCTCCGGGAGCGCCAACGCCGGCAGCGGCAGCGGCAGCGGCTGCTGCGCCTTCGCCTGCGGCAGCGCCTCCCTTGCCCTTTCCAGCCTCCGCCTCGCCTCCGAATGTGAGCGCACCATCACCGACTACCAACGCAGGGGAGTATGCGCCGAGGTTGATGTTCAGGGGTGCTGGGGCGGCGTTGATCCCTACGGCCAAGACGGCGAGGGTCATGAGGGTGCTGGTGATCTGCATGGCGAAAGATTGGAAAGTTGAATTGAAAAGATTGGGTATCGTGTGTCGGCGCAGCCGGTAAGTGTCTCTCTCCTCAAGAGGAATTATTAGGTAGTACTGAAAAAGAAGTGGATTCCTTTGGTGGAGGAGAATCGAAGAAGCAGAACAAACAGCACAGCTGAAGTGAGGAGGAAACAAAGAAAGATGACGGAAATCAGGTAATAGCACACGCGTCAACGAGTGGCAAGGCAAGGTGGGAGGAGAGAGCGTAATGAATGAAATCCCCACGGAGTGCCAAGAAGAGGTTCAAATACCTGGCGTGGAGAACCACGACCAGATCCAGAACCACAGCCAGTAAGAGAGTGTCAAAGGTGAGAAGTTGGAAGGTGGAGGATGGGACAAGAGAGGCGCGGAGACCATGCCATTCGGGGTTGCGGCGCCGTCATGCGTGTCAAGACCTGCCGCTGCCAAGGCCAAGCGGCTCTGTCCAAAATAGAAGCTCTTCCAGGTGCCTTGGACAAGAGATGATAGGTTCTTGGGCGTTCTAAACACCAGGGACTAACAGACACACGGACCTTGAGAGGGGTGGTTTCCGGTTCGGATTCGAGGAGAAGGGCAGATGAGCCGCGGGTTGATCCAGGGGGGCCATGTGGTTTCCATCGCTGGTATGGTGATAGTGGTGGTTACGCGGGATGTGGTGGAGAAGTGCGTCTGAGCGGAGGTGAAACGGTCCAAGTCCCAAGACCTCCAACTACGAGGGCTCCCCGAAACCATATAGAGTCTTGGCAACTGGGCTGGATGCGGCCCTGGCTTTGTCGAGAAGCAGCTTCTTTCTATGGGAGTGCTGCAATTTTGTCTCTGTTGCCCATGTTGTTGCGAAGTAAAGATAGATGAAGCTGATGTTTGACGTTGGGGCATGAGGGGTCGTCTACCGAGGATACGATCTGCGACCTGCCGCAGACTAGCAGCTGCAAGGCCGTTTGACCATTTGCAGCTTCGACAAGAGATATCCGTGAATTACTTAGAAGAGCCGTAGTCTGCACATGAGTACCTACAATGGTCGCCAAGCTGTCTGCTTGCCGATGGCCAAGGACCGGGCGTTTCCCAAGACAGTTGGTCTGGCCAGCGATCGGGATACCAAGACCGCGCCCAAGACTTCCAAGAGATCCCATTCTACGACCGTAACGGCATACGCCATTTACCAGCCCGAAAAA